AAAGCTGGGTGTGGTGGTGTACACTTGTAGTCCCAGCTGCTTGTGAGGCTGAGGTAGAAGGATCACTTGAACCTAGGAATCAGAGACCAGTCTGGGCCATCTAGTGATACCCTATCTTTAAGTAAAACCAGCTGAAGGTATGGCTCAAGCAGTAGAGTGCTTGCCTAGCACAAGACCGAGTTCAAACTCCAGTATCACCAAAAAATAAAAAGTAAAAACAATAAAGTCTTCTAATTTAGATAAATAAAAATGTGGGAGAAATTTGCTGGAAGACAGCATCCTTTCCAGTTTTCTCTTTCTAATGCCTAAGCTCAGTGGGTCTCCATATCCATGTGCACCAGAATCAGTTTGAGGGCTTGTTGGATCTCGATTGTTGAGCCCCAGAATTTCAGATTCATTTGGTCTAGGAGCCGCCAAGAATCTGCATCTCTAAGCTCGAAGGTGATGCTGATGCTGGTGGTCTAAGTGCTACAACTTGAGATGTATTGTCTTAGCCCACTGAGAAGACTGGAGAAGACTGGGGTAGGTGGAGGAATAGGGGTCTAGAGAGGTGAGTTCCTTTAAAAAGAAGAGAAAGAAGCAAGGTGGAGAAATGAAGTAATGGGGTTTCCTAGAAAAGACTGTTTGATCCTTCTAAGGAATCAGGACACCATTCCTAGCCTCACCAGTGTCTTCCCCTCCCTCCCATAACCAAGGGTAGCTCAGAGACAGCAGGACCTGCCACCTGTTTCTTTTTTTTGGTAGTACTCAGGGCCTCATGCTTGCTAAGCAGGCATTCTACCACTTGAGCCACTCTGCCAGCCTCCCTCCCCTCCCATTTCTCAGTGAATCCATAGGCTTGGATAAGGTACATGGTAGCTGGGAACAGATAGCATGGACTGAAAATCAGAGAGCCAGGCCATCCTAGACAAGAAGGAATCACATTCCTCAGCAGTGGTGGGGCGGGGTTGAGATGGGAGACAGACCCTTCTGACTGAGGTCAGAGGTCTCCTTGAGACTATGCTGCTTTGATTGCATTTTGAAAAAAATCATTTTAACAAATGGTGTTGGGATGTCCACATGTAAAAGAATGAAGTTACACCCCTACTTTAAGACATACAAAATTTAACTATATATATGTCAAACCTAAACATCAGTGCTAAAACTATATAACTCTTAGATGAAAAATAATATGAAGTTCCTGGAACCTGAGAGTCATGGTGGAATAAAATTCTTACCCATCTGTGGCAGAATAAGAAAAATATTCAATCTTTGTCCCTGATTCCTAAAAACCTCTGGAAATTTTCTGAGTGATTGGAATATCTTGTTAATTACAAGGAATCCGTTCTTATCACACCTGAGTTTATGCTAATGAAGTATTTTAGGATGTGGGTTGTGTATAATCTTAGGAGGGGGCTGGTCACCAAAAAGACCAAGGCATTAGAGATTGGAAGTTTCAACCCTACCCTCTGACCTCCAGGGTGAGGGGGTGGCTGGAGTTAAGCTCTCTAAAAAAAAATTCTTGAACAGCAAGATTTCATGAGCTTCCACATCGGTAAACACAAGCACATACCAGGAGGGTGGCACACCCCAATTCCAGTGGGACAGAAGTCCTGCTCTTGGGACACTTGGGAACCTTGCCCTATGTACCTCTGCCTCTGGCTGTACATTCATATCCTTAGTGATCAACTGCTAAGTGTAAAGTGTTTCCTTCAGTTCTCTGAGCCATGCTAGGAAATGATCAAACCTTAGGGTGGGCTCATGGGAACTTCAGATTAATGGCTGATCTGTCAGAAGCTTTGCTTTTGGCTGCTGTATGAAGTGGGGGTAGAGGGAGTCTTGTGGGACCAAGCCCTTAAGCTGTAGGACATTCAGAGTTAGTGTCAGAGTTGAATTGTTGAATACTCAGTTGGTATCCAGAGAAACAGACATTAGTGTTGGAAAACTCTATGATATCACACCCATTTAAAAGGAGAGAAAGCTGGATGAACAGCTGAACCTGACCTGTGGGCACCACTGATTTGAATGTAGTAGAAGGCTGAAAACACTGGCTTCCTTTTCACAATTATGGCACTAAGATTGTTGTTTCTCCTGCCTCTTCTTTCTTTTTTTTGTTTTTTTTTTTTTGGTTAAGGTAAAACAGTAATGTGAACAAACCTTAATGAACTTGATTTTTTTCATACCCGGATGAAGATACAGAACATCTCCAACACCCCCCAAGGCTGATTTTTAACCTTCATACAAATAAACGAGACCATAGTATTCCTTTGTGCCCAGCTTATACCCAGTACAATGTTTCTTAGTTGCACCCATGTTATTACAGGAAGCAAAACTTCGTTCTTTTTCATTGCTGCCTAATATTACATTATATGATAAATCCCAATTTGTTTCCACTCACTTATGAATGAACATATACATAAAACTGCTATAACCTTCTTGTCGATGTCTTTTGGGGGATATAAGCACCTTGTATATTGAGGAGTGCAATCACAAAACCATCAAATCTTACTATTCACCTGTGTTTAGCCTTAGCAGGTACTGAGAAATTATTTTCTAAGCCATTCATTCAACCTCCCATCAATAACATCTGACAAATTAGGTTAATTCTCCATCTTGCTAAATTTGATATTGTTAGTCCTCTTGATTTTGGCCTTACTGACTGGAAAACACTTAATTTTTAATTTGTTAACATTTTTATTTTAAATCTTGTAATATTTTTTATTTATCTAAAATTGGTGTTCCAAGGATGGTGAGAAACCTGCAGGACTCTCCCAAGTATTCAGAAATTCTGTGAGGTTGTGTGGGTTATATATGTGCCACAGTCACAGCTGCATGCTGCTACAGACCCACCCCCTTGCCTGGGAGCAGACCCTTGACTTCCCCATGAAAAGGAAGAGTTTCCTTGGGATCCCAGAAGGAGATGTTTCCCATCACCAGCAACATCTGGGGAACATCTGGAGAGCCCCTCCCAGGACAGGGAGATGCTTTTCTGCAGAAAACACATCACTTATTTTTCCTTCATCTCTCCTTCTCCTCCTGGTCCTCAAACTCCCTGGTCTAAGCTCCCACTCGAATCCTTGCCACTTTCTACCCTGGTATCTGCCTTGTCTGGTTTTCCCCATACACAGCCCAGTAGAATGCAAAACTTATTTGAGAGACCCTTGTTCATTCTAGAGCCCATCCCTGTCCTAGTCCCTAATCAGAAGGCAACATCTTCCAGAAACCGAGTCAAGGAATGTTGCAGCTGGCGGGATTCTCTGGTGCAACGCCCCTTTTACAGATTAGAAACTGAGAGGCAGGGACAGAATCCAAACTAGAACGCCACTTCCAGGCATTACCGAAACTCCTTTTCTGTGGGAGACCTTGGCCTGGGGATTGGAGGCGCGGGTAGGAAGGTAGCAGAAAGGATTCCTGGAACTAGCTGAGACAGCTGTCTGAAGCCATGGCTGAGTGTGTGGGGCGAGGGAGCTGCAGGGAGAGTTGAGAGCTAAGTGACTTCTAAGTGGCACTCAGCCTGTAGACTTTAATCTCCTTCCTGAGCAGCCTCGGCCACATACAGCTTCAGTGCACCACCTGTGTATGGAGGATTTCTCCAGCCCCACCTCCAGCCCTGCCCTTACGCCCCCAACAGGCCCCCAGGTACACCACACACACACACACACACACACACACACACACACACACACACACACACACACACACACACACACACACACACACACACACACACACACACACACACACACACACACACACACACACACACACACACACACACACACACACACACACACACACACACACACACACACACACACACACACGCCCACAATGAGTCTTCCAAGGTCAGGGGCCCTAACCTGCTTCTCTCCTGCTCTTCCCTGGAAAGGTGAAGAGCGTGCAGACCCTGGCCTGGCCCTCTTTGCACCTAGGGCCCTCACCTCCAGATGCTGAACGGAGGGGAGGGTAGCACGGAGTCCTAAGGGTTGGGCTAGTCACTGACAGTATTCATGTAGGACAGTCGGAAGAACCCAGAATGCAGCGGGAACAGGACTGGGAGGGGGAGGGCCAGGTTCTCATGAAGGCTCCCCAGAGGAGGCAGTTCAAGCTGAGCCCTTAAAGGCTTTGGGATCGAGGTAAGGGAGAGGGGATGGACAGGCATTCCCGACGAAGAGGAACGACTGCAGCCAGGGTACAAGTGTGGAAACGCTTCAGGTGTTGGGTAGGGTAAGGCTTGGGGTGGATGGGCTTCTGGGCCAATACTTGGCACCTGAACACTTTTTTCTGAGCAGTAGTGCAGGGAGAGTTGGCCCGAGTCAGGAGAGCCTTGGCGGGAGCAGAGAAGGCAGCAGACCATTTTAGGTGGCTAGGGTCTGGCCTGGAAGAAACTAGCCCCCACCCTTTTTTTTTTTTCAAGAAGGAATGGGATGGGGGTGGGGAAGCTGGTTCCGAGAATTCCTAATTCTGGGCTTCTGTCCGGGCACGGTGACACTCCCTTCTCTTTTCCCTCCCCACCCCTTACATACCCCAAGTTCATTTGCAGTCAGTTTACTTTTCTGCTGGATTTGGGGGTGCGGGTAGGATGGGAGCAGAGGAGGGAAGGTTTAGTTTGGATTACAGTAAACTGCCTCCCGCAGGGCGGGGTAGAGGGCTTAAGGCTTTGCGGCTTTGCACTGCTTCCAGCCTCAGTCTACCTATCTGTAGGCTCGGGCACTGGGGCGAGATGGACTTCTTTACGACCTGGCTGGGCCATCGTGGAGCCGGCGCCTGGAGGGACTACGCAGGCGGGGCTGGGGCGGAGGGCGGCGGGGCGCCGTCGCGGGGTCAGAGTCCGCCGGGAGGCCGACGGCGGCCGCGCAGCTCAGGGCGGGGGAGGGGGCGGTGCCTCCGGGGCGGGGCTGCGGGGCGGCCTGGCGGGAGGCCCGGCGTGCGTCAGCGCCGTGAGCCCCGGAGTTTTCCACTGACGAGGAGGGCGGAGCGGCGGGCGGGGCCGGGAGCAGCCAGTCTCCCGCTGTCGCCGCCGCCTTCGGACGCGCAGAGCGAGGGGCGGCTGGACCGACGGCTACCCGGCCGGGCGCACGGGAGGTCGCGACGCGGGGAGCGCTGTCGGCCGGGACGCGGGTTGCCTCGGTGTCCTTGGCGGGCGCTCTGGTCACAGGTGAGCCCGAGGGGCCCCGAGCCCGCTGAACCGGAGGGACTTCGGGGAGGGGGCGTCCCGCGCCAGTGGTACTGCGACTCCGGCCCTTGCCATTCGCTCCCAGTACCCCGACTGGGTGTCGGGACAGCACGGCCGCTGACGGCGCGCTGGGGACCCGGGAGGCAGGAGCGGCAGGTTTTCCGTTCCCCTCCCCCGCCCCGCCGCGTTACCCCGAGATGTCCCGGCACCCCGAGCCCGGTGCAGGTGACAGGGTGACGGGACGTGCACGTCCGTGAGTGAGTTTCCTTTTAACCCAGCTGCCTGAGAACTTTTCAGAAGTTACTCGCGTGGCCGGAGCAGGTGACATTTGTCGCTTTCCTCCTCGGGCTCCCCCAGGGGGAGGGTGCCGGAGCTGCTGCGGGTGCCGGGCTCCCCCGGCAGGCGGGGGTCAGGGAGGGAGTGTGGTGGGGGGGTGGCGGGGATGAGCGAGTAGTGAGGCTGGGTGAGTCACGGACCCCTGGGAGGGACAGAGGAGGGGAGGGAGAGGGAGGGATTGTGTCGTACGCTCACCTGTTTGTCAGTCACCGTCACACGCAGAGGCCACCGCCGTGAGTCACGGGGCGCAGCTAAGCTACACCGGCCACCCGCGGGCACACGTAGGTCCTCTCCCACGCACTTCTACTCCTTCCTCTGCACGTACTTCCTCTCTGTCCTCAGTTTCCCTTCCCAGGGGGGTTACCCTGTCACCGTCATACACTGTTGAGATACCCACACCAGAGCCACACACTTAGTCACTCCTGTTAGGCAGAATCACACACAGCCACAGCCCACATTCTTGATACCGGAGAGTCCCTCCTAGCGCTTTCGCTACCCACCCCCCAACACCTCCACTCAGAAGTCTCACTGTCCTCCGGAGAGTAACTCATCACTCCCCGCCCCCAAATCCTTGACAATCCTGTCCTTTTCATCCACATCCCGCTGTCACAAGTCCACTCCCCTTTCTCCTATACCCTTGTTCTGTCATCTCACCTGGCCCTGGCATCACCAATAGGTCACACCCCCTCCAGTCCCAGGGCTGAGCCATCTCTTAAAAATGCAAATCTGGTACTGTCACTCCCTAGTTAAGCCCGTCAGTAGCTTCCTGTGCCCTCAGGCTGAAGCCTGCCCTGTGGCCTGGCCCAGCCCCCTCTCCAGCTGCCCCTCCTCCACTCATCACTGTCTGCTCCAGCCCCTCACTCTGGCTGTGCCTCTTATCTGGAACACCCTCTGAGTCTTTTTCCTCAAAGAGCCCAACCTGCACCTCCAGCTCTACCTTTCTTCTGCCCCACGCCCCACCGTCCACTTAACCTCCCCTCCAGCATCTTCCCCTCTCCCCAATTTACACTTAAAGAAGGCAGCATCTGTTCTGGGTTTTCTCCCTGTATGCCCAAGTGCCTGCCCCAGTGCTGGGCATATTGTGGGAGCTCACTATTTGATGAATGAGAGAGAGAGAGAGAAACTGGTTTAGGTAGAGGTATCAGTCATTGTCAGGTGCAATTTCTCTTCTGCAGGAGTGAGTGCTTCAGGTAGCCAGCAAACATTTGGTGCTTACCCGGTGCTTGGCCCTGGAGCTGAAGCTAAGGAACCATCCCCTCCCCCAGATCACTTTCTGAGGGACTGTGGGGGAGGGGTGTGCCAGTGCTTCCTGTCTGCTGTCTCTGGGCTGTATTGTTTCAGTGCAGCTCGAGGTGCTTGGAGGTGCTTTTCCCTTATCCCAGGAAGTAATTCTTGAGGGCCTGGGGTCTTGTGAACCCCAGTATTGGGGTGTGTGCAACTGCGTATGTCCGGGGTGCTGAGGTTAAAGGACACGTTTTTTGAGATCCCTGGAGGGGGATGGAGGCAACTAAAAGTGCCCCCTCCCTAGTACCACCTCTGGCTGGGAGTTGGGGGGTCTGCCAAGGTGGGCAGAGGCGCCAATGTGGTTTCTCAGAGGCCAGGAGATGCTCTCTGCTCCCTCCTGCTTGCTGCCAAGCTGAGGTGCTCTTCCCTGGACGCACATAGTGAATGTGCACATAGTTGTGGCCAGTAGGCTGGGGAGTCATTCTGGGCTGTCAGTGCCTGTGCATGGTGGCAGGAGGGCAGCCTGATTCTCAGGCCTGGTTGGATTCCGGAAGAAGCCTGGTTCTCTGATTCAGGGCCTGTCTCTGGGGCTCCCGGGGGTGTGGTATTTCTGTCTGAGTCAACTCCTGGGAACAGCTTTTCCTTCGTCCAAGACCCTAGGAGGGGCTGTACTCACCCTGGGAACAGTGCCAGGTCAGGATCTTGATTCCTGGGTAGATGTGTGGCCCTCCCCCCCCTCTGACTCACTGTCTGACACTTTTCTTGGACTCTTTCACTATCTTTCATTCCTTCTTCTGACTTGGCCTCTCCTTGTCTCTGGCTCGTTCTTTCTATCTCATCTCCTGCTTCTCTCAAAGCCTGGATTCCAGGTGGGACAGAGGAATACAAGATCAATCCAGGGAGCTCTTCCCCCTACATTCACCCCAGAAGAATATCATTTCATTTCCAGGTCTGCAGATCCTTGCAAGACAGCCTAGCCTCCCTGGGACTCAGGCCCTGTCTGTATCCTTGGAGATTATAACCCCCATCCCTGAGTTCTGTGGACATCCTGACGCAGAGCCCTGGTGTCTGGCCTGAGCCTGCTTCCTTCACATCTCTCCATCTGTTTACTCTGGGTGAACAGGGAGCCTCCGGAGATGCCTGCCTTGGCACCAGCCTGCAGTCTGAGCTGCCCTCTCTGTCCTCAGCCACCTTTTGAGCACTGTTCTTACTCCAGTCCTATGGCACAGGTTGGCGAATGGGTGTTTGGCCCTGTCCTTAAATTAACTTCCCAGAACAGGAAAAGGTCACATTGACCTCTAGGCATAAGGACTTTTGTGCTGATACCTGATATTTGGGTTGGCCTGTCCACCTCTGACCTTGTCAGGTGCACTGTCTGCCACGTTCTGGTCTAGGCCCAGGCACATTGCAGCTGGGCAGAGGTACCTCAGCCTGTCATGAGAGAAATGAGCGAGTAATGAAGACATTATGTTGTGTCATATCAGGACTCTGTGGTGGGGAAATTCCTAATTGTCTTATAGCCAGTTAGGACTGTTATAGGCTAAACTACCATAGGCTGGGTAGTTTAAACAAAAGAAATTATTTCTCATTTTTCTGGAGGTTGGGGCATTCAAGATCAAGGTGGCAACCTGATGAAGTTTCCCTTCCTGGTTTGCAGTTGGACACTACTGTGTCCTTACATGGTGGAGAGACAGGTCATTCCTCTTGTGTGTCTTGTAAAGGCACTACTCCATGACCATCATACCTCCTGGTCCTCACCTCCAAACACCATCACTTCGGGGATTAGACTTCAACATAGGAGTTCTGGTTGACGCAAGTATTCAGTGCAGAGCAGGAGACCAGAGAGGCTGGGAGAAGGAGTGGGGCACTCAGGAGAGCTCTTTGGAGATGACCTCTGAAAGGGAATGGGGCTGGGTTGTTCCAGTTTGTGCAAAGGTTAGGAGGTGGGCAGGGCCATGGCCATTAGGGGAACTGTAAATTCAGCTGGAGTATGGAGAAGGCTGTTGCAGAGGCTTGCAGTTTGAGGCTGGAGGGGAAGCAGCAGCCAGGCCTCGTTCAGCCTCTTGAAATTCTAGGATTGATCCTAAGGGTAAGCTAAGCAAAGGATTGACAGGGCGATAAATTTGCTTTAATATGATCATTCTGGCTTGGGGCAGCAGACAGGGACAGAGGCAGGGGATAATAGGTAGTGGTAGAGGCAGAGACATATTGGAAGTAAATGTGTGTGTGGTGGGGGCGGTGCTGGGGATCCTTGCACATACTAGGCAAGTACTTCACCACTGAGCTGCATCCCCAGTCTAAACTTTTTTATTTGATAATGACCTATATAGAGTGCATAAAGTATATGAATCTCACATGTTCAGCTAAATGAATTTTTAGTTTTATTAGACACCCACTTAACTACAATCCAAACCAACCTAGAATGTTCCCAGGTCCCTTAGCCCTCTGAAAATTCCCTCAGGACTGAACCCATTGCACACCACTCTCTCACCTGGGAACCACTATTCTGACTATCATTACCAGTTGTTTTTGCCTTTTCTTGAACTTCATGCACATGTATTTTGTTTCTGACTGCTTTTCACATGTCTTTAAGACTCATCTGGATTGTGTGAGTCCAATAACCCATTCTTTTTCTACACATTCACAGAGTACTTATCATCAGAAAGAACTTTGATATGCATTGATTGCTGTAAACCTTCCAACCCTATAAGGTTTTAAGAGAGAGTTGGAGGCAGAGATGTTAAGGAACTTGCCCAGAATCACCCAGCCAATGAATAGCCAACCCAAGGTTCAAACACAGGCAGGCTGGTTCTGAAGTTGGGGTTTGTAATGCTGCCCTAGGTCTGTGCCTGTGGCTTTGTGGATGTGATGGAGGGAGAGGGAGGAAGACGTTGAGGATGGTTGCAGGTTCCTGGCTTGAGCAACTGGGTGGGTGGCAGTGCAGTTACTAAGATAGGGAACACAGGAAGAGGAACAGATGGCATGGGGGGGTGGGGAACCAGAGACAAGGGGTTCAGTTTGGGGCCTGTGAAATTGTACGTTTGCGGGGAGGGGGGGTGGCCACATAGATCTGCAGAGTGGGCAGTTGGTCCTGGGGTCTCAGTTCAGGCATTTGCTTAGGGAGGCATTCACAGGGCATCTGGAATTGGAGATGGGGTCTCCTTGTGGGACTGTGATGGAGACAGGATGTGTGGGTGTTGTTTGTCCACATGTGTTTCTGTGTGTCTGAGTATTTCTGGCGTGTGTGTGTGTGTGTGTGTGTGTGTGTGTGTGTGTACACGTACGTACGTATGCGCATGCCTGACTCTGGATCACGAGCCCCCACCTCCTGGGAGAGCCTGCAGGTCAGCTGGGAGCTGGGTTGTTTTTGTTTGTGGTTTGACCCTGGGAAGGCTGGTGCCAAGCCTGAGAAACTACCCCGGAAACACCTGTGCATCCTCTTCCCCCAGGCCCGGGGTGGGGATTGGCCAGGGAGGAGGTTCTCTTGCTTCTCTTGTGCTTGCCTGGGAGAGGCTGTCCCTGGGGTGAGTTTTATTCAGTTAGTCAATTGACTCCGAATCTCCTGGGTTCAGGACTTGATTGGGAGGCTTGGGCCAGGAGAAGCAGTGTTTGGAGAGGACACCTGAGTAAAGGAGAGGAAGACAGCTTTCTGGTTGGGTTTTCCTGTGATGGCAGTGTGGGAGGACTGCCTCAGCTCTGGGGCCTCTTCCTTTCCCCTTCCTCCTGGGGGCCCAACCCTGAGTTCAGCAGACAAGGCAGCTGTACTCAGCCCTTGACATTGAATCCTTTGGGGGTTCCCAGGGCCTGGGAGGGACTGTCATTTGCTTAAGGGCCAGGAGATCCTTCATTTGGATGAGGCCAGCCTAGTTGCAATCACTCCTGCACAGACAGAACATGGGTGTTTCATGTCAGAAGCTACAGACAGGACTACAGACAAGAGAGACGGGAATCGTCTTGGGTGGTCGGTTTCACTTAACAGTGAGTTTTGATTTTTTTTAAAGGGGAAAATAATTTCCGTGGGAGGTTATTTTAAACAGGACTAGCTATTGGAGTAAAGGCAAGACATAGGTGAATTTTAAGATGAAAGGAATGTCTTGGGTCACAGGCAGGCCTGGAAGCAGGGGACTTCTCTTCTGCACTGTGGGGGTTTCTGAGGGAAAGTCTGAGAAGCTCCATCCCAGGGAAGGGAGGGGCTAGGTAGGGAAGTCCCCCTCCTGGGAATAGGGGCCTGTTCCCTAGAGTGCCTGGCTGGCCTGGCCGGCCTGGCCCTGGAGCAAGGGCTGCAGGCTGTCTTTGGGCAAGGTGGTGTGTCTGTGTGGGAGGAAGGGGAGGAAGCACAGCCACTGTGTGAGGGCTGTGCGGGCTGTGGGGTGCACAGACAAAGGCACACAGATGCAAGCTGTGTGAATCAGCCTCCAATGAGTCAGCCCCCAGGATTCCTGTCGGGAATGAGGGAGGCCAGGCTGAGGTCTGTCCGTCCATCTGTTGATCTGTCTGCCTCATGGTGTTTGTGTGTGTGTGTGTGTGTGTGTGTGTGTGTGTGTGTGTGTGTGTGTGTGTCTGGGGTGGTGGGAGTGTGTGTGTGTGTGTGTGTCTGGGGTGGTGGGAGTGTGTGTGTGTGTGTGTGTGTCTGGGGTGGTGGGAGTTCAAAGACACCAGGATGTGGGTCTGCACCGGTCTTTGGAGGGAGGGAGGTACTGTGTCTTGGGAGGGGAGCCTCCTGAACACTCATCCTGTGCCTAGAGCCCCTGGGGCTGGAGAGCTGAGGTGAGAGTCTGAGACACCTCAGAGAGAAAGGGTCATGGCTGGGAGCCTACCTCTGGCCTTGTCAGTGGTTGTTGCTGGCACTTAGAACTTTCTCACTCCTGTTCCAGGCTGTCTGTCCCTAGCCCAGAGAGCACCCCCTGGACCACCATGACTGGACTGCTGAAGAGGAAATTTGACCAGCTGGAGGAGGAGGACTCCTCATTCTGCTCCTCTTCATCATCCTCCTCGTCCTCTGGCCGCCTCTCTGGCTCCTGTTCCCCAAGCTCCTCTGTCTCCCCTGCCTGGGACTCAGATGAGGAGGAACACTGGAATCAGGTGCCCCTGCCTGACCAGGACTTCTGTGGCCCCCGCACTTTTACCCGTGAGTCGTCTCTCCCCTGGAAACCCCCACCTCTCCTTCCTTCCTGAAAAGTGAAATTGGCAGGCCCTGAACAGAGCCTCTGGAGGTCCGTATGGCTATAACTCCCTTGTGTTATCTGCTTCCCATGATACAGTGGTCAGTCACTCTGCCACTATCCAGAGACACCTAGGTCCAGCTTAAATCACCTTTGACCTTGGGAATATTGATATCCACCTCCTGGAAGCCCTAGGGACTTTCCTGCTCCGGCCCTTCCCTTCTGTTCTAATTTTGTTTCTCCCTCATGTACCGCTCCTTCCTACGGTGTAACCCAGCTGCTGGGATTCTAGTCCCACTAGGAGCTGCAGGGCCCACCAGCCAGTCCCCCTTGTCAAAGTGCTATTTGACTTTGCCTGACATGCTGAGAAGGGATTTTTTTCCTGGTTCTTTTTTAAGCTTGGATAATTCTGACTCCAAACTGAAAGATGGCTGTACAGTTGTGTTTCTCAACCTTAATTTTCATTATTGTTTTTAAGAACCTTTGTAGACATTTTCCCCCCTAGTTACTCCCCATGAAATTTTAATACCACAGATATGTTGTTTACCCTTTTATGTGATATGTGTATATACAGTATGATTTAGTACACGTAACCTAACAGTTCAAACAAAATCTTTTAGAAGGGAATTCCCTGAGTAGCTAGGTATAAAATTAATATATTAAATTGAAATATGGAATTGCCAATGCTTGTCCATTTATAAAAATCAGTAATACACCAATGTATGGATTGAATATATCAATATATAGCTTACTAATCAATATATAGTAATGCATGAAGGCCTTTCTAAGTCAGCTGTAAAACATAGAAGCTATAAAGGAAAAAGGTCAACATATCTATTTTAATGACATAAACCTTAAAAAGTTACTTTGATTCCTGAATCAAATATCACAACAAACACAAGACTTAAAATATTTCCCCAGATAGGTTAAACAGATGATTATTGTCTCTGGTGTCACACGTAAAGAGCTCCTACAAATCAAGAAGAAATTATAGAAAATGGTACAAGGGACCCATAATGATGAGAAGATGTTTAATCTTATACAGTCGTTTGAACTGGTAAATGACAATGAGCCAGTGTTGACATGGGTGTGGTGTTTCGTTTTACCAGCTCCAATTCCAGCCAGGCTGGCTCCTAAATTCAGATCCATCTTTTTACTCAGGTGGGTGGAGAGAGGGGATGTGTGAGGAGAGACAGTTCTTCATGCCCTTCCCTGCCTGCCTTCCAGCCCTGTCCATCCTGAAGCGGGCTCGCAGGGAGCGCCCAGGCCGTGTAGCCTTTGATGGCATCACCGTCTTCTACTTCCCACGGTGCCAGGGATTCACCAGTGTGCCCAGCCGTGGTGGCTGTACTCTAGGCATGGCCCATCGCCACAGTACCTGCCGCCGCTTCTCCTTGACTGAGTTTGCACAAGAGCAAGCCCGGGTGCGGCGCGAGAGACTCCGCCAGCGCCTGAAGGAGGAAAAGTTGGAGGCACAGCGGTGGAAGGTAGGGAGACCATGTGGTGTGGCAGCTCCTGGGGTCCCAAGCTTGGACCAGTGATTGGTGCCATCAGTCTGTGGCCGGGATTATCTGAAGACTCAGAGGAGGCATATTAGGGCTCCAGACAAACACAGCTGGGGCCTGGTGCCTGAATCTGTCTGACCTTACTGGGGAGGGGATTGCTCTGATGTTGGAGGTATATACATCTGGCCAGGGGAGGGGGCTTGTCCTGGATCTGGGGGTGGCATGAATAGGACATCTCAGCAAATGCCCTGAGGGCAGTGTTATTGGCTATCATGTAATAGCCAGTGCCCAGCACAGAGTAAGCACTTAAGAGCATTTGTCACATGTCTGTGCCTTTTACATCCCTCTCCCATGGACACAGCTTTCGGCAGCTGGGATACCCGAAGAGGAGGCAGACCTGCCACTTTCGGTGGATGCCATCGATGATGCGTCTGTGGAGGAGGACTTGGCATTGGCTGTGGCAGGTGGTCGGTTGGAGGAAGTGAACTTCCTACAGCCACACTCAGCTCGGCAGCGGAGGGCCCTGCTGCGGGCTGCGGGGGTGCGAAGGATTGATCGAGAGGAGAAGCGGGAGCTGCAGGCACTGCGCCAATCCCGGGAGGATTGTGGCTGTCACTGCGATCGGGTCTGTGACCCTGAGACCTGCAGCTGCAGCCTGGCAGGCATCAAGTGCCAGGTGAGGTGGCTGGAATGGGCAGAGCTGGGAGCTGAGCCCTGGGGGGGGGTTCACTGCATAGAATCCTCACTTGGCCTCTCTCTCTGCAGATGGACCACACAGCATTCCCCTGTGGCTGCTGCAGGGAGGGCTGTGAGAACCCCAAGGGCCGTGTGGAATTTAATCAGGCGAGAGTTCAGACCCACTTCATTCACACGCTCACTCGCCTGCAGATGGAGCAGGGGGCAGAGAGCCTTGGGGAGCTGGAGGTCCCAACTCACAGTAGCCCACCCAGCCCTGGTGAGCAGGCCTTGGTCTCTACTTTCCCACTGGCCAAGTCCCCTGTGAACAGTGAGTTGGAAGACAACAGCTGCAGCAGTGACATGACCGATTCCTCCGCGGTGTCTTCCTCATCATCTGTCACCAGCGAGGCCCCAGACCACCCCACACACCCCAGCCCACATGGTCCTGGCTTCCAGTCTGGCATGGATGATGACAGCCTGGCCCAGATCCTGAGTTTCAGTGATTCTGACCTCTGTGGCGAGGAGGAGGAAATGGGTGTGGGAAACTTGGATAACCTCAGCTGCTTTCACCTGGCTGACATCTTTGGTACTGGTGACCCTGGTGGCCTGGCCAGCTGGACCTACAGCTACTCTGGCTCAGGCCTCACATCAGGCATCCTGGATGAAAATGCCAACTTGGATGCCAGCTGCTTCCTAAATGGTGGACTTGAAGGATTGAGTGAAGGTGGCCTTGCTGGCACCCCAGTGCCACCCGGGGTGGATGTTGGCCAGAGCAGCTCAGTAGACCTCAGCTTGTCTTCCTGTGACTCCTTTGAACTGCTCCAGGCCCTGCCAGATTACAGTCTAGGGCCTCACTATACTTCCCAGAAGGTGTCTGACAGCCTGGACAACCTCGAGGCTCTCCACTGCCCCCTGCCTGGCCTCTCTCCTCCGGGGGATGCTAGCACTTGCTTCCTGGAGTCCCTTATGGGCCTGTCCGAGCCAGTTGCTGAAGTCCTGACTCCTCTTCTCGACAGCCAGTTTGATGACACTGCCTCAGCATCTCTGGTGGGGCCAGTGCCTGTGTGAGGACTGGGATGCCCTTCCCACTCCAAGAGCCCCACTGCTGCTCTTTTGTGATTTTGGGGCTCCCCAAGGTCTGTATGTAACAGTCTCCCATTGGCTGACTCGGCCTCAGGTGCTGTGCGGCCACTCCTGGTTTTCACATAACACTCTGAATTTATTTATTTTTATTAATTTTTCTATGCTGAAGAGGGGGTGTGGAGGGAGCTTCCCCTTTCAGCGCCTAGCCCCCATATCCACACAGTGCTCTTCCACACATGAGCCAGGAGAAGATGGGGCTTCACAGGCCCATTTCGGTCTCTGTTATGATGCTCCTTATCTCAGAAACAGTGAGACACAGCTGTTATCAGGCATGTCAGCTTCTTAGGCTGCCCGAGCCCTACACCATGGGTGGCTAGATCTTCTGGACTGTGAAGACTAATTTATTTCTGTAATTTATTTGAACACTGAGGCAGCTTTGGCTGTGCCTCTCTGGCACAGCTGGGTCCTTGTTCTGCACTCTGACCTGTGCAGTCTTTGGTGTGGACAGGTGTGACCTGTCAGCTGCCTGGCTCCTAGATGGCTGAGCAGGCAGAGGCTGAGGTGGCCAACTGTGACTAAAACCCTCTCTGCCCACCAGGCGCCTCTGCTTCCTGTCCTTCCTAAAGGCTACAGCCTTTAGTCCTGGTCTGTGGTGAAGGTGTGTGTGTGGGGGGAGCCAGAGGCACAGAGGGTGGGGGGACTTGCCGAGGGGCACAAAGCATGCCCTGCATAACCACTTAGGGGCTTACACTGCACTCCATCCTGGCCATGTGCTCTGAGGCCAGTTGGTAAGGGGTGGCTTTTCAGGGCTTTTATGCCCTTCATTTGCTCATGGTTGAATTTTGCATCCATTTTTATATTGTCCCTAAGTGTCAGAACTATAATTTATTCATTTCTCTGTGTGTCTGTGCCAAGAAACCCAGGCTCTGGGCCTGCACCCTTGCCCAGGAGGCCCTGCCAGCCTGCGTGCTTGTGGGAACACATTGTACCTGAGCCGACAGGTACCAATAAAGAGGCTCTATTTTTAACAGTGTCGTCTGCATTAGTGAGTTGAGAAGCATGGGTACACCCCCAGCAGGGAGGTGGGGAGAGGGGGCTGCAAGGCAGTGTGGACACTTGAGGCTATGTTAGCAGGTGGGTAGGAGAGTATTCCCCTGCTTCCAGGAACTTGACAGCAAGGAAGCCACCTGAGACCAGGGGTCACCCTGAGGTGCAGCAGCCAGGGACTCTGCTGGGGTAGTGCTATCTGCTTGAGATGAGTGAGGGCACCCTCTTTTCCATACACAACTGAGTTGAGGCCAGACCCACAGGGTGATGTCATTCCCAGGGCAAGGCCAGTGGGATATGGCTGGTGGAGGCCTGACTCTGCAGCTGTGGTCCTGGGGACTTGAGCTCTGGAAGCTGCAGGACCTCATCCATCTACACTAGCTAGACCTGTCTGACCTGTCCCTGGCAGCCCCAGTGGGCTGTAGGCCAGAGAAGCAGGCCTCACCCTGCCCTGGGGAACCGAGGCTGGGAGCTGGAGGAGGCAGGTCCACCTCCCCCTTAGGAATGATAATGATTTGTCTCCATGCTGGGAGGAGGAACCACCAGGAGACCCTTTCTGTGCTCTAATACTTCCTCTGTTGGTCTGTGCTGGGCTCATTCAGGAGCAATGGACTTAGAATGGTACAAAATCCAGCTCTTCATGAAGTGACTTACGCAAATTACCTGCTCTGTACTTGAGTGAACTCAATACTGTACAAATAATAACACTGCTTATCTCATGAGCTTGTTCACTTCATATATGCAAAACACTTTGAAGAGGGCCTAGAACATGTAAGCCCTGCATGTGTGTAATTTCCTGTCTACTTTCACCTTTCTGCAAGTTTAATTTTTTTTTTGCCAGATCTGTCACTCTTTAGGTCTGTCTTTTGCTTCTGGACATGCATGGACATGATTACCTGACCACTGCAGTAACCATTGGAGGACTCATGGCTTGGAGTCTGGCCTGTGATGGGGCAACATATCCCCGTAAGCAGCTTAGCCAGAGAGAGTGAGGCCTTAGGCTTCTCAGGTAGTGCCTCATCTATTTAGTGGTCCTGTCTCCTTTTGCAGGATCGCTTTGGTATGTGTGTGATTCAATGTCTGGTTATCTCCAGGGGCTCTGAGAGTTGGCTCTGATTTTCCTGGGGGTCTGGGTGGCAGCCTTCCACAGCACCAGTGCCCTGGTGAGATGTCCCACGGCTACTATTCCAGCTCACGACTGGATGGAGGCCTGCCTGTTTCCATCTAGCGCCACAGGGTCAATCCCTGGGGGTTTTTTTGTTTGATTTTTGAGATAATAAAGAGAACTTGGGTTTTACAAGAAAACTTGATGAATGCATCAACCCTTTACAGCATCAATCTCCTTATAGACAGACCTACTTCTCAGTCAGCCTCCCACCAAAACTGGGTTGTAAAACAAATCAAAGGCAAAGGATCTGGGTTTTCCCATAGGAAAGATGGTAGAAATCTGGAGAAAGCATTCTGAATCACCAGCTCATACCAGGAGGCTCTGCAATGTGATCAGTATGTTATAAAAACAAGCCTCACAGCCTGGCGCTGGTGGCTTACACTTGTAATCCTAGCTACTCAGGAGGCAGAAATCAGGAAGATCACAGAAGCCAGCCTGAGTAAATAGTTCCCGAAACCCTATTTCAAAAAACACCCAACACTAAAGGCTGGTGGAGGTGCTCAAGTGCTAGAACCCCTGCCTAACAAGCGTGAGGTCTGAGTTCAAACCCCAGTACTGTCAAAAACAACAACAAAAAAAGCCTCAGTCTGGGGGCTAATGGCTCATGCCTGTAATCCTAGCTACTTGGAAAACTGAGATTGGGAGGATCACAATTTGAGGTCAGGCCTGAGTCCCCATCTCCAAAATAACCATAGCAAAACGGAGTGGAGGTGTGGCTTAAGCGGTAGAGCACCTTTTGCAAGCTCTATGCCCTGTGTTCAAATCCCAGTCCCACCAAAAGAACACCACAAAAGGCTCAGGGCTGGGGATGTGGATCAATGGTAGAGTATCTGGGCTCCATCCCCAGCACTGAAAAACAAACAAATAAATAAATGGAAGAGAAAGAGAAGGCTCAGTAGCCACCAAGGACAACTCACATTCTTCTAAAAGAAGAGTTCCTCCCATTTCCCAAACCTTATTCACTGGGCGACTTCCCTTGAAAATTCTACCATATTTTCGTTCTACTCATACTAAGTGTTTTTCTTTAAATATTTTTTGCAACAGCATCTGTGAATTCATAAGTTTGTTATGCTAGTTATTCTGTTACATAACATGATGTATAGACGCGTAACTATTAAACTTAGGGCTGGGAGTGTAGAGGTCTAGTGCTTGTTAGCATGCAAGAGGCTCTGGGTTTAATCCCAGCACTGAGAAAAAAATATATATATATAAAATAAAAGTACACTAAATATTTACTGTATATCTTTGGCAGAGGTGGTACCTTGATTTGGGAAACAGATCTAGTCTAATTTCCTGCCACAGATGGAACACTAAGACCTAGACAGGGAAAGAGACTAGGGAAGGTCACATAGGCAGATCCTAGGCCTACTGATTCCCAGTTCAGAGTTCCTTCCCCTGAGGCTAAACTGGCTATTACTGCCTGAAAAACAGGAAGCTCACTACTGGGAGCATAGTAAAGGTGACCTCTGTCACCCTCTTGCCAGTTAAAATTCATTCATCTGAATAAAGACCACTGCACCTGCCCCTTACGCATAAAAGGGCTCCAGGAAGATGATTAGTTGGCCAATGTCTTTTACAAAAGTGAAGGCTCCAGGACCATATTCCTTTTTTTCTTGAAATGCATTTCACTGTTTCTGGCAAGGGCAATCAACTTTGTCCCAAACTGGTGAGTACTAGCAGAAGCCAGCTGAACACTTGGGGGAGGGGACAGAATATATGGATAGGGTGGGACAATGGTCCTTGCAACCTGCAGGCCCATTTGCACAAAGCCTCAGTTCTGGGGGCCTTCTGCAGCTGGTCCTCCTGTCTGGGCCCTTTGCCCAGAGCATCCCAGGCCCACTGCCAGGGCAGTGGGTAACATGGTAGCCAAGAGCAGTTGCTTCTTTAGCTCCAGGATGCTGGGGACAAGACTAGGGGGAAGGGAGGCATTTAAAAATAGCTGTAGGGTGTTTTCTTAACCATCAGGTCACTGGGAGTTCTCTCTTGTTTCTCTTCAGCTCCCTCAAGAGTCTGGGATAAAAATGGGGCCTATTATAAAGTTATAGGCTCATGTCTATAATCCAAAATAACCAGACCAGGACTGGCAGAGTGGCTCAACTTGTAGAGTGCCTGCTTAGCAAGTGTGAGGCCCTGAGTTCAAACCCTGGTACCACCAAAAACTTAAAAGTGTCCAATTTGCCCAGCAGACGCTTAGCCAGTTGATGTCTTCCTTCCTTAGAGCATAATAACTTCTTGTACCTTGAAAATGTAGACCACAGAGCCAGGTGCAGATGGCTCAGGCCTGTAATCCTAGCTAGCTGGGAGGCTGAGATAGGGAGAATCACACTTTGGGGTCAGCCCAGGCAAAAAGGTTTTTAAGACCTCATCTCAACAGAAAAAAGCTGGGCATGGTGGTGTGTACCTGTCATCCCAGTGAGGACAGGAAGCATAAAATAGGAGGATCATGGTTCAGGCTGACCCGGGCAAAAAGCAAGACTAGCTCTAAAATAACTAAAGCAAAAGGGTTGGAGGCACAGCTCACCTGCCCTGCAAGCTTGAAGTACTGAGTCAAACCCCTGTAAGACCCCAAAAAGGTAAAGCTTTGGGATACCCCTCAGGCCAGATAAGTCATGACTCCAAATAAACCATATACAAAATAGAAATGGGGAAGAATGTGTCATTTTCTCAATTCTTTCTCCACTGACCCACTTCCCATTGTCTCCATGAAACTTCTGCGACTGGTGCCTTCTGCTGATTCAGGCCCCCTCTGACCACAGCTAGGGCCTCAAGGACCCCTGGGCCTTTTCCAAAATTTCTTCTCTGATCTTGGGGTAGTTAGGGTGCTCCGTGAGGACCTGGTACAGAGAGAACAGGTATGCAGCATCAGGCAGGGGTTCCCGTCACTACCCCGTCCCTGCCAATGACTGTGGCTTACAGTGTGGCATACTTCGATGGCTTCTACAAATTTCTTGTCCTTCAAGTAGTTGAAAGCGAGTTTGAAACCTATCCAGAGGCAGGGAGAACACAGAGGATGGCACCCAAGAGCCACTGTGGTTCTTCCACCAGCTAGGTTACAGGCCTTGAGTTCTGGGGTGGGGCTGGGGGCCTGTGGCCAGCTCCCCACACACAGACCATGTGCACCCTGGCTGGCTGCCTTACCGATGGCGGGGTTGGCATGACGACTGTAATTCCAAGCCAGCGCATAGCTTGTGGCGGCATCCTTGTAGGACTGCTCCCTCTCCATGATGAAGCCCATGTACTCGTAGGCCTTGCAGCAGGACTGTAGAGAGTGTGGGGCAAAGCTTCCACCCAGCAAGCAGAAGCCACTACCATGCCAGAGCCCATGCAGGGTGACGGGAAGGGGCTAAGGGACGACTGGTAGGGACCCCATGAGCACCATCTCCTTTGCCAGGGGTTACCTATGCACCCCTCTCTCTGCTACCCCAATGCTGGCTCAGCCCTTTTTCCACAAAACTCTGTCTCACCATCCTTGTTCTGATCCTTCCTCCACCCAACACTCTGGCCAAGATCCAACCCCCTGCATGCCTCTGAACCCCTAGGAAATCTTTTGGTCTCTCCACCATTCCCTGTCATCCCCATCCCACTGCAGGCATAGCCTGACCCCCAGTGCGATTCTGCCTGTCTTGCTCAGTTGCATGCTCTGTCTTGTCCCACCTCTTCCCATCCGGTTTCTACTCCGCAGCTCCTATGTCCACCCCCATGCCTGCTCACCCCTCCCAGGGTGCCTGGAGCTTCCCTCAACATCTGCTTCCCCACCCAGGCCGCCCCCTCGCCTTGTTGTACTGCACGCAGCGCCGCAGCAGCTCTGAGGCCAGGTCGAACTTGCCACCCTGGCAGTAGATGTCGGCCAGCAGGAGCCAGCTCTTCTCCAGGTCCTCAGCCTCGGTCAGTGCCCACGGGACTTTGGCCAGGCGCTTCAGCTGCGTGCGTGCCTTGGGGATCTGCTTCAGCAGCATGTAGGCCTGTGCCATGGCCAGCAGAGCGGGGACGCTGTCCTTCTGCACGCGGGTGAGAAGTGGGTATCAGTGTATCGGACCTAGGCTTCCATCTCACCGCCCATCGTCCCCTCCCCAGACAGCGTACCTCTGCGTGGGCCATCTCAATGAAGGTGCCCAGAGCTGCCTCCACGTTAGCTTTCTCCCTGGTGGCGAGCAGGCAGAGGCTCTGCAGCAGCCGCAGCTGGGTCTGACCCATGGCCGTGTGTGGGAAGAACTCACGCAGCAGCTTTTCAGCAGTGCGCACGCCTTGCTGCTGGGATTCTTTCCTATGGGCAGGCAGAGCTGTGGCGGTGGGATACTTGGTCCTCACATGGCCTTCTCTAGGGTACCCCCTGCTTACCTGCTTTCATTCGCTTGGCCCTCAAAAGCTTCTCCACCCACATTGTCATTGTCTGGGTTCAGACAGATCTGCACCATGTAATAGACGGCGCTCTGGCCCCAAGTGCTGTCCTTGCGAGCTTTGTTTAGGAATTTCAAAGCTTCATTGGGCTGCCCTATGTGCCTGTAATGGAGGAAACACCAAGAATGAGTCAGGGAAACTGCAGGAAGTTCAAGGATACATAGGGGCCACTCTATGAGTCAGCACAAAGCAGGGGCTCTGGATTGCTGGTCTCCTGGCTCCCTGTCCTGGTGGTTGAATTTCTTTTCCCCTCTTACCCAGAGATCCTAGCTATCAGGTGGGAAGGGCATCCTGCATAGCTACCGTCAATGTACCCACGTCCAGCTCACCAGCAGTAGATGCCTCTGCAATAGTTGAACCCTGGCTCCAAAGGCACCCGGCTGGACATCTTCTTGGCCAATTCAAAGAAGGCAGGAGCCTCTTCAAGTTTGCCACTTCGTCGTAGCAGATCAATTAATTTATTCAATACCGAAAAGTTGTCTAAAATAAGAGAGCAAAGTTCTCCAGGCTGTGATGGCCCAAAGCTGCATCAAGCTTGTATGCTGAAGCCTGGCAGGAAGAAGGGTCGTGTGTGCTGGTCTGGAGGAGGAGCCCAGAGGCTCTGCCTCATTTGGAGACCACTCCTCTGGTCTCCAGTGGGAAGTGAATAATGACAATACTTAAAATGTGATGGTTGCAGCTAATACACTGTCCCTGGTCCTGGAAACTTTACCTGTCTATTAGCTATAAGATGAAGTAGATACTCTTACTGTCTCTGTTTTACAGATGGGGACACTGAACACAGAGAAGTTAAGTAATTTGCCCAAAGTTACACAGCCAGTACACCGGGACTCTGGCTCCAGGACCTGCAGTTCTAACCATGCGATTTGCTAGGCGATGGTGGGCTCTTGCTGTGGGCCTGCTGGGGGCTCTGGCTGCACCTTCAGGTTTGGCTCCTTCCCGGGCAAGGAGTGGTTTCATACTGCCACATGTGGGAATGAAGCTAGTATCAGAGAATTTCTAGTCCCTCCAAATGGCCATGACCTCGGAAGGAGCTGTGTTGAGCTCCAGTGGCTGTGTTGTGGGGACATACAGATTGTCCTGGGTCCAGTGCCAAGTGCCTGGGACCAGGAACTGGCCCCTTGGACTCGGGAAGGGCCAGCACGTTCTGGGTCCTTATCAGTTTCCTGCCTCTCTGGTAACAATCAGGGAGGAAGGGGCTTCCTCTGCCCAGTCAGGAAGGAGGGGAGAGGGTCCGCCCTTCTCCTGGAGAGCAGCCCTGGCTGGGTGCAATCTGATGTAGGCAGTTTCAATGGGCCGAATTACCTGGTGCTTTCTCCAGGACTTGGCGGTAGTGGCTGATGGCCGCTTCATATTTCTGTTTTCTAAACATCAGGTCAGCCATCATCTATTGGAAAATACACAGGCTCCATATTCCTGACAGCAGCCCGCATGTGTGCAGGAGGCAGAGATTGTGTGTGTGTGTGTGTGTGTTTGTTTGTGGAGGGAAGACTCCCAGGCAGCCCCCCTCGGCCCTGGGAGCTTTCCCAGAGGAGTCTTTGGCTCCTCAGGCCCCCACCATAAGCTGATGAGTGCAGAGGGTTCCTTTCTCAATCTGCAGGGCACTGGGATGGCCCTGGAGGAGGTGTGGATGACAGGGAAGAGACAGGCAGGACTGGGAAGGGCAATTCCACACACTTCCTGAAATCCCAGGGGCCCGTCCCATCCTCACCTTCACCTACAGTGGCCATGGTTTTCCCTGGAGCCCCTTTCACCCCTTCCCTTTAGACTGGTTCTGGAGTTGCTGCTGCCCCCTGCTGGCCAGCCCACCCCATCCTCTGAAGGGCCCAGTAGGTAGTAAGGGCAGAGCTTTTCTTCTCTGCCTGAATGCCCTTTAGGGGTGGGCCAGTAAGACTACTGAGGCATGGGGCCAGGAAGCAGGGTCTCTGGGGAAGAATGGGAACTCCTACCACGGAGGCGGTTTCCTGGGTGTGGGAAGTCTGCAGGAGTATGGTACACTGCTGCTCGCACAGGTCCAGATGTCCCTGGAGCAGGTAGAGTCGCGCCAGCTCCAGTACCACCTGCACCAATACCAGGTATAATAAACTAACCAGTGACCACCATGGAAAGACCTGCAATCATCTTTGATGGCTCTTCCTCCACACCCCACTTCTGCCAGCTCTCTTATCCTGGATAATGTCTCTGGCCCTCTCCTCTCACCAGCACCCCAGTCGCAGCACTGGTTTTACCAACTACCTGCTGAAAGTTGGGCCTGGCACGCCTGCTCTTGTCCTTTGGTTTTAGCCCTGGATTCACTTCTCTGGGGAGCCCTCTTGGCCCCAACAGGGACAAGCCCCCTTCCTCTGAGTTCCTGTGGTACCCTATACCCTCTTGCAGGCAGGGGTTACACAGCACTAGAACCTCTTGTCTATCCCCCTTGCCTGAGGGCAACCTGTGGGCAGGGACCTTGTCTTGCCCCACTGTCTCCAAGGCCTAGAGCAGTACTGGGCATGTACATTCTAGATAGCAGATCAGTGAGTGAATAGTAAGTGAATGAACAGATTGGTTACTAAGTTCTTCATCTATTCTCTTAATGTTAACTGCAGCCACCGTTCCCGCATCTGGAGTCACACTCTCCTCACAACTCAAAGCCCTCTGGGAAGCTTAACCTGGGCTTCATGCTCAAACAGCTCTAGTGGCCATGACCCTCATCATCTCCTTGCCTCTGGGGGACTTGAAAGTGTCTAACATGACTCTTAGTAATATCTTCCCCACTCCACCTTCCACAAATGATGGTCCAGAGTGGGACTTCCTGGCCCTGCTCCAAGGGCTGCAGCAGGTCAGGGACTAGGGTCACTCCCATGCCCTGAATACCCACCCACAGCTCCTCAGAGAGGAGGTACCTCTGCATCTGGTCAGGAGTTCAGCAAGGTCTCGTGCCCTGAGAAAAGGGGCAGGGTCTTGCTTTCAGGGCTACTTACCTTATTGTCAGTGGGTGAGTAGGCCAAGGCATCCTTATAAGACCGCACTGCCCTGGCATAGTCCTTCTCTGCCAAGTAGTGCTCCCCAAACTGGATGCAGATGGAGGTAGCCAGCTGCTTCTGGGAGGGCATCATTTCTGGTTGCTCTAGTGGAACCCGCTTCAGAATTCGAGACTGGAGGTCCAAGGCCTCAGGAAACCAATGAAGCCAGGCTCAGAAACCCAGAAGAGCCTTTGTGCCAGTTCACAGAAAGTCCCAAGCTCTGCTTTCAGAACCAGCAATGGCTCAACCAGGGCATTTCAAGGCCCTTGGGCAAAACTGGGCCATTTGCTGAGCACACAGGAGGTAAGCTGGCATTACCCCGGGGTCAGGCACGGAGGTGAAGGAGCTCAAACAAAGCACTCTACTGTACTCACCTGTTTACCTGCTTCCCTCACACCTCCAGGTTCTTTGTCTAATTTGCTTCAGCTGCCTTACAGGCTAGAGCAAGCACACAGTAGGTACCTAAAGCAGCTGTATTTGATGAATGCACTTCATTCGCAGCATTTGTTGTGAATATGCTGCACTGCTGGGAAGTAGAGCCCGCACAAATATCCACAACGCAAAATAATCAGGTGAGTAATGGGAAAGAGGAAAGTATGATTCCAGGGTCAGGAAGGGAGCATTAAACCATTCCCAGCCATCATTTGGTGGGATATAACCCTCTATAACCACAGAATGTACCTCAGGAACAAGTAAGAAGCCACATCCCCGGGTGCAAAAGTGAAGACATGACAGGTATGTCCAAAGGCTCTCAGATCAGGGGCAGCCCAGTATGGAAAACAGCATGGGTTGGGACAGGTCAGACCTGGGTGAGATCTCAGCTCTGTCACTTGCTGGTACAGATGCTCCCTGACTCAGGATGGGGTCACGTGTGGATAAACTCATTGTAAGTTGAGATATTGTAAATGGAAAATGCATTGAATACATCTAACTGGCTATAGAGCAGGTATACTGTAGAGTGTTGGTTATTTACCCTTATGCTGGAATGGCTGGCTGGGAGCTGTGGCTCGCTGCCACTGCCAGTGTCATAAGAGAGTATTGTACCACACATTGTGACTCCAGCAAAAGATCAAAATCCAAAACTCAAGTGCGTATCACTCTCCTTACACCATAAAGTTGCACATTCATAAATCAGATCATCATAAGTCATGACATCTCTACTTGATTTGGGGCATATAGCTTAACTTTTTTGAGCTTTATCTGTTAGATGAGAATTTCATAGTGCTTATCCCAAAGGGCCACTGTGAAAGAAGCAGAGTCTTGTACAGAGCACAGCATAGAGTTGCCAATGCATGGCATTACTGTTGTCACACCATCATCTTTGAGGATAATAACTGTCTTACTTCCAGTCTTCCCCAGCCCAGCTCAGAGCACAAAGGTGCAATAAACAGAAGGTCTTCTCTTGAGGAGGAGGTCTGGGCCCTTCCAGACCTGCAGACCTATCCTTTCTCCTTCAGTCCCCACCAGGAGATGGCCATAAAGAGCTTGAGTCTACTTCTTAATTACCTTGTTCAAAGTTTCCAGCACATCTTCTTTCTTATGGCTCTTGTAAACCTTTGCCAGCAAAAGCAAGAACTTAACTTCATTCATCATGGAGGGGATGTCTTTGGCTGCTAGAAGGAAACACCATTCAGTGTTCTCTAGCTCCTGGGATACTAGTTTGGTGGGGAGGGCTGGTTCAGGACCCCAGCTAATGCAGAAGGGAATGGGGTAGAGGACAATGTTCCTCTTCCAAATATTAGGGGCGAGTGGATGTTGCCTCACCAAAGCTGCGCTCCAATGCCTGCTTCAAAACCTTTTCTGCTTTGCTGAGCTTATTTAACCTCAGGAGCAGTTCGGCCAGATCACAGCACAGGAAGTCCTGCCCACTGATCTTCTGGGCAGCCTCATAATAATTAATTGCCTTGGTTCAAACAAAAGAATGACCTTAGTGTGGTACTGCACCTGAGAGCCTGACACCACATGTCCTGCAGCGGCCACCACACCAGTGTGCCCATTTAGCACACAGACATCTAAGATGGAAAGCTGTTCACAGCTGCATAGGGCTCAGGCTCCAGCTTGAGCAGGTGTGGGCCGTGGTGACCAGTGGCTGTTTAACCCTCAGCACCTCACTCAGGAAGCAAGGGTGGAAACCCAGTCATTCTCCTCCTGTACAGACCCCATGCACCCTCCTCCACCTTTCCTCCTGAGCCTCCCCACTCTCCCCACTTCTGGCCAGCCTGACCTTGGTGTACTGGTGGGTCTTTACATAAGCTTGCCCAATCCTGCTGACCAGGGAGGCGTCACGTGGGTTCTTCCTGTAGGCCTCATCATAGACCTCCAGGGCCTTTTCGGGCTGGTGGAGAAAGAATCCAGGAGTCTTTCTCTTCTTTCCCATGGAGAAGTGTGGCTGAGGGGCTATCTGGCAAGGCTGTGAGGCCCCTTGCTCACCTCCTGAATGTTCATGAATGCATCGCCCAGCAATAGGCTGGTGTGGGGGCCAGGCAGATGTTCACAGAGCTCTCTGCAGGAGTAACCAGAAGCTTATCTCAGGCCTGTACATCCCTCATATTCTTGAATCTATCCCCTTGTCTGCTTTCCCACTGATTCTGGCTGACATTCATTCATTCACCATCCAGTAGTTACTGAGAGCCCACTGTACACGAGGCACTGGGCAAGCTGCTTTGAACAGACTCGCCTCCACCTCATCCCTCCAGACCCTCTCCATGAGCTGGGGACGGAACCCAGCTTTGCACGTACCAGGCAAATGCTCCACACAGAGTTGCATGCCAGCTCCACATTTTTCTTTCTAAAACTTCAGTCTGGCCATGGGACTGTGTTTATCTGTTTCCTGCTGCTGGATGGCCTCCTCTACCCTCCAGCATGCTCATCTCCTGCCTGAGACTACCTTGTGGGAGTTTTGCCTGGAGAAAGGGACTTGGGAAGGTGCCCTTGAGGTCCCAACACCGAATCATATAGAGGCAAAGCCTGGAGCTTCCAATCCCTACTCTCCAGCCTCCACCACCTCACACTGCTCACATTGGAGTCACTGGACACTCCTCAAGGACCAGCAGAGCCAGGAGCCCAGCCCATAGTATTCCAACAGACTAAGCCATACAAGGGTACAGGAGCAGGGAGGCAAGCAGGGTAAGGGGCTGATTCCATCCTGCGTCCTTAGCACTCATCCACAGGCTGGGCTTACTGTAGGAACTCCCAGATTGTGGTCAAAGGCACTCCAAGAACACGTTCTGGGACCCAGGTTGAAAAAATACAATCTGAGGAACCACTCCCTGAGGTGCCTCTGGGAAAGAGGCTGTCGCTGGACTGCTGCAGGGCTTACCGGTAGCAGCCGATGTAAAGACGGACGTCCTTGCGGGTGTGCAGATAGATGCCAGCCATCTTCTCCTTGGCTTCCGTGTAGCAGGGCTGCTTGGGCGTGATGTTCCTCAGCATACTCAGTGCCATGTCCACGTTGCCCTTGCTCATGGCCAAGTCCACGTTGGCGATGGTGACTCGAATCTCCTCTGGCGTGCCACTGAACTCGTTGATGGCATCCTGCATGACCTTAGTGGCCTCGTGCTACAACATGGCATGAGTTAGTATCACTCATTATAGATGGCCTGATCACTTAAAACCTCTTCTGGGAAACTTAAAGCAACCCCTTCCTACTTTTCCCCTGGAGGATAGTGAAACAAGGAGACTGAGCGAGGTTGGACCAGGAGCGGTCCTGATACTCCAAAATCAAGATGGTTGCATTAACCTACAGAGTCATTTTGGAGGCCGAAAGGAGAAAGAGCTTAAAGCCCATGGCCATTGCTCTCAGACAATGAGGGAAACTGCCCTGTTAGCTTGGGGGTACAGGACTTCCCAACTGTAAACCCTGCCTGTCCTATAGCACTTCAAAATCAGTTGGCAGTTCCCTCCCGTGTGGGCACATCTGGTACTTTCCTGCCTTGGGCCAAAGATATTTTAATGTTCCGGAAACTGGCACAAAAAAGCAGCTCAGTTATTCTCTGCCCATTTCTGGTGCTTTTCAACTTGAATTCAGGCCTACCAGACATTTAGGTTTCACCCTCAGCTGCGTGCCTGATACAGCTACCACTTTTTTTTTTTTTTTAACTTTTATTCTGGCCCTTTGGCTTTTTGAGTGAGTTCCACCACTTGTTTGTTTGGAACACTGTGAAGTGCCTTTATGGACTAGGTGCATTTACTTCATTTCATTATCACAGATAAGTGTTCTTGGACTTCTTGTCAACTTAACTTTTATTTCCATCTTTTTGGGGGGGGGCATACTGGGGTTTGAACTCAGTACCTTACACTTACTAGGCAGATGTTCTACCACTTGAGCAACTCCACCAGCCATTTTTTGTGTTGGGTATTTTCTAGATAGAGTCTCACGAACTATTTGCCTGGGCTGGCTCAGAACTGTGATCCTTCTGAGTGGCTGGGATTACAGGCGTGAGCCACTGGCATCCAGTTCTTGTTTCCACTGTTATATGCTGCTGTGTTTGGATCTTTTATGCCTTTGACATGTGCCATGCCTCCTTTTCCCCTAACTATTGATTAATTTGGTGGAAACAGTCTCCAATTCTACCGTGAAATTTTGTGTAAATTTGTCTCTCAGACTCTCCCCTATAAACATGAAGAAAATTAACATGCTTTGATTACTCCCCACCCTCCCTTCCAATTTCTCTCTTCCCCTGAACTTTTTCATGTGATATTGCAGTGAAATTATTATTAATATGTACTTTAATAGCTTTTAAGAACTTAACAATTAATGGATTAGGGTCAAAATTACAATTATTTAAATGTAATCAGACTTATTTAGATTGGCTCTATGCCTAATAATTTAATTTTTTTGCTCTCGTACTTCAAAATTTTCCCCACTCCTAAAACTTTATTTCATGTTTTGGCTGGATGGATTATATTTACAAGATTTTGCAGAAGTGTTAACTAAACACCATTAACTCCTTATTCCATTCCTTAGTGTTCTTTATCGTTTTCACACAGGACAGACACCCTGGGGTCATCCTTCTCCACACATTCATTAATGTCCCACTGTCTTCTTGAAGTCAGTATTGATAAGGTCTGAGGCCACATTGGTTGTTTTTCTCATAGCAGGTGATACACTCTCTGTCCAGGTGCTGGACGGAGCCCTCATTCATACTGTGAACCCTCCCTTCAGTTCCCGTCCCTTCATCAGGGCATTACTATTAGGGTTTTTCTCAGTCTTAATAAACTGAAACTGCTATTTCTCCAACATAAAGTGCCAAAGTTGCTGACTCACATCTTCCCTATAGGAACAAATCTTCTGTGATGTCGTGGGTAGCTTTTCTTCCCCCTTGTTTAGGAATACTGACTATGCCCTGTGGGATAGCCATTGCCTGACTTTCTTATCCATCACCCTCTCAAATCACCATGATCATTTTCCTGGTTTCCATCCAGAGCTGCCCGGGTCTACTGTTTCTTTCTTTGTTTTTGCGTCTACTGTTTCTTGGGACTGCACTTTGGTAACAGTACTGGTGTGTCTGTCCCCAGATCTCTTCACTTTTGTGCATTCTCTTTTCATCTCTTATGCTCTACTTTGACCTCCTTTTTCAAGATTCTACGTTCTTTTATTTTCGTTTAATACAGAAAAGTTGAAAACTTTTTTCTTCTATCTTGATAGCATTTGTTCTCCCCAAGTGTAATCTTCACTTGTTACTGGCTTGTTTCTCTCTTCCCTTTCCTTCCCTTCTTCCACCCTCCCATTCCATGTTAGACCCCTCGATCACTGCTCCTTCTCTAGTGGGGACTGCTCCACTTAAACCTGTTCTTTTTTAAAGAGCTAGGCTGGGAGGCCAGGGAGGGGTGTATGCCTGAAATTCTAACACTTGTAAAACTGAAGCAGGACAATTATGAGTTCCAGGCCAGCCTGTGCTACACAGTGAGACCCTGTCTCACAAAACAAAACAAACAAAAAAAAACAAAGATACAGGCTGGGGAGTACAGCCGCCCCAGAAGCACATGTGCCCTGAGCTCTCAGTGGCTACTCCTTTGAGGGCAGCCTATATGAGAAGCTGGGGTTTCACAGGGTGTCCTTGGCTCACAGCTCGCAGCTGTTACCTTAGCAGGGTGGCACATTGTGAAACTGACTTTTAGGTTATTTCTTTCCTTACTTTCTCTGGCCACCCCTCCTATATAGGAGCCCAGGACAGAGAAGCAGCTCTGTAGGGCAGAGCTGGGCTCCTCTAGGGATATCTCTGCATACTGGTGGCCTCACCACATGCCTAGCTCACCAGGTACCAAGGTCCCTCAATCCTCCCACTCCTGCTCCCTGTTCTCCCTCCTAGTGAGCATGGGGATCTCCTAGGCTTGTTTCTCTGTACCCTAGTGTCCACCACAGTGCCTGACACATCAACTCTGAGCTGAATGAACTCAGTGAATCACTGTCTTGAATGTAATGATTATATTTTGTCATAGACAGGGACTCCCCTCTCTCTCTCTTTTTTTGTTCCATTTGGCAGGTTTAAGGAAGAGAAGTACCATAAACATGCTTCCACAATTCTATCTTTGCCCAAAAGGCCAACTTTTACCTTAAAGGGGAAAAAGCCTCATGGGCTCAATTCCTTTCTATACCAGGATCATCATGAGAGAAGGCTGAGGTCCCAGTGTTGGGTCATAGAGATGGTCTAGGACAGACTCCATTTTACGAGCTGGTGAGGCCAGAGGCCAGTGACACCAAGGCAGCGTGAAGAGTCCAGTTCCCCTCACCCAGGCCTTGCTCCCATCTTTGTGTTCCTTATTGCTCCCCTATGCCAGCTAAGAATACATGGGTGATTCCTGCCTCTGCTCAACTCTCATACAGTTGAACAGTTTTGTACCATGAAACTCGAAGGGGACACAGTTCATAAAGATAATGGTGTGGCTGGCATCCACTGGGTCTCTGCAATGCCCAGTCTCTATGACCACTGGTGGTGGCCCTGATGGGCCTATGAGCTCTGCCTCCCTGAGATTCTCATGGGGACAGTGAGATGGGCAGGGGCCAGATCATGCAGGACCCAGTATGGCCTGGACTTATCCTAAGGGCAATGGAAGCCACTGGAGCCTTTCAGGCAGGGGAAGAGACTAGCTTCCAAATGAGTAAGGGCTTAAATAACAACAAAAGAAAACATCAGGCAGGATCAAAGAGCCTGCCTCCCAGGTCTACCAGGGTCTCCAATGTGCCCGGTCCTAAGCTAGAGGGCAGGGCATTTCTCACCAGTTCCCCATTTAGCCGGAGGGCATCTACCAACTCCAGTAAGATAGATGCCCGCTCGCTGGGCCCCACAGAAGGCCCCCGGCACTTCCTGCCTTCTTCTGCCTTCACAGTTGGCAAATTCATGATCATCTTCAAGTGTCTTTATGGCCTCTGGATGATCGCCAGACCTGTTGAGGGCCCTGGCCTTGATGAAGTGATAGAGAGGGTGGTCTCGGACCTAGGAGAGGCACAGCAGCATGTGGGGCTTCAGCTCAGCCCTGCCACTCACAGCCCAGCAGCCCCCGGACAAAGTCAAAGGAGGCAAGGAGCCTGCCCCTACCTGTGGCCAGCAGAGGGCCTGGGGCAGCCCTTCCCATAGCAAGAGGGGGCTGTAGCTAGTGGCTCTGGGCTGTCGAGTTGGCAGCACAGCACAGAGGACCTCACCTGGAAGTTGTGGCTGACACCCAGCTCTAGGCAGTGGGAGCACATGGCGAAGTTGCCCTGAGTCAGGTAGATCTGGGACATGAGGAGGTGGGCATCAGCGAAAGTCGGGTCCAGCTCCAGGCAACGCTGCAGGGTGCTCTGGGCATTCTCCAGCTCTCCTAGGATCAGTAAAGCCACCTCTACATACAGGGATCCTCGGGGGTTCCTGAGCCCCCAGAAGTAGAGGCAGAATGAACTGTACACGTGTAATCACACACAGTTCTCCACATTAGACTTGCCTGATTTTCTTCTGCTTCATGCAGAGGTTCCTCCTAAATTAAGGCTATCATGTTGCCTTGACCCAGACAAAAGCCAGGACACTCAGATCCTGGCGTGACCTTCAGGTCTCTGTATCCCTCAGGGAGATGACTAAGTCATCTCACTGCTCCATCTGGGAGCTCAGGGCAACACTTAAGTCTCAATCCTCACACCTACAAGCAGAAGGAAACCTAGTAACACAGTCACAAATTATGAAGCATCTGTTCTATGTTCAACATGTGCAAAGCATTTTAGCAAGTCTGGTACAGTATCTGTGCAGCCCAGCCAGGACGTTATTATGACCCTTACATTTCATTTAGTTTTGGGGGTTGAGCCTGGGGCCTAAGTATAAGTAGGAACTCTACTTCTGAGTTGCATTCTTGTCTTTCAGATATGGGACCCTAGGACGCAGTGATAGTGAGGGGCTTCTATAGTTCCTCAGCTTAAAGGGACAAAGTCCACATTTAAATCAAGCCCATCACTCTGAACTCCTGGCACCAGGGGGCTGAGGGGCCTTCCCTGCAGCCAGGATGGTGTTCACAGGTTGGTGGAGGCAGCCAAGGGATAGGGTTCAGTGAGTTAGGATGTGTGTATGTGGCTCTTCCCTCTGCACCCAGTACCCACCACAGCTACTCTTTGGGTCCTTAACTTGGTAGGGGGAGTAAACTTGCTTTGGGATCCCAAACTCCCTACTCCTTGCTGTGCACTGTGGAAATTTAAAGAAGTCACCATGGCAACCTGAGCACCTGGAGACTTTGTATTGGCTCCAAACCTGCTGCCAGCTGCCAGCACCTCTGGGGATCCCTTCCTCCTTGGCCTTGAACCCAGGAGCCCCTGAAGCTGCCAGTAAACCTGGCACCCCTGAGAGGGTGGAGAATGAAGCCAGAGGGGACCCACAAGACAAGTATCTGTCTGATGGAGGACAGATACATGGCTACAGTACTCCATCCTGGACCTTGTAGGATCACCTAGGATGTCAGAGATTAGTGTGGGTTTCAGGCAGACAGGACATGTGGAAGGCTATAGGGGCAAGTACTCCAGGTGAGGGCTGTGTGTCACAGAGGATAGCAGTGCACCCATGGGACCCCTTTCTTTCCCCCTCTCTCCAGCACCTGGGCCTCTTGATGTGGGGAAAAACTGGCAGGGCCCTGCTCTGGCCTGCAGCCTCTGAAAAGTGTCCTATGCAGAGCCTTGCCTCTCCACCAGGCCTTCACTGACACCCCTCCTGCTTTGCTTCTGCATGGTGTTACCTCCTCTGGCTGCAGGCCCAGGTACTTAGTTGTCTGTCCATTTCTCTCACTAGAATGCAATCCTGAGGGCATTTTTTGCCTGTTTTGAGTATGAACATACTCAGAAATATGGTCACTACCTGCATAGATAAGGTATGCAATCTGTAGGAGGCCTGGGGGAATCCACCCACAGGTGAGGGAGGTCAGAAGGTTCCTGGGGTATGGGATACTGCAAAGAATAGCAAGTCTGGTGAGAGAGCATGCATGCACGCACACGTGCGTGCATACGCACATGCATGGGTATCCCAAGCAGGAAGCCTGCAGACATACCCCCAGGGCAGAAGCCCAATCAGGTGTCTGATCAGGCGAACAGATGTGAGATGACACAGGGCCCTGCTGGGCTGCCAGGACCCACCTGAGAGATACTTGACCTGAGCCATCACAAACAGGGGGTCCATCATAGCCGGCGCTGCTTTCACTACAGGACTCAGGATCATAGCGACTTGTTTGAGAAGTGGAGACACAATCTGGCCGGGTGAACGAGGCTGTAGGAGCATGAGGGGCTGCTGTGTACTTTGCGCCTTTCTAAGAGGCTCCTGGGGCTCTGAGAAGACATGCTCCACACTTTCGTATTCTGCACCAGCCAGTGCTACAGCACACGCTCCAGGGAATGGGGACTGTCGTGTCCCCAGTACCCCATACCTAGAATGGTATCTAGCACGTATTAATGCACTCAATCAGTATTTGTTGACTGACTCATTACAAGGCACTGGGGGATATTAGGACTTGTAAGATATAATCCTTACCCATGAGGACTCCTGACTGGCTGGGAAAGTAGGACACAAGTACAGACTAACACAGTTCTTCGAAGGCTTCTAAGAAAAGGATATATCCTAGGTTTCTAGGATATAGGCCAGGGTATGGTTGATGACCTGTTCTTCCAGGTGTGGTCCCTGTGTTGGCAGCTTGGGCATAACCTGGGAGCTTCCTGCTTTGCTGTGATGTCAGACTCTACACAGGGTCAACCTCCCAGGTGGTCTGGGTGCTGCATGTTCATGTTTGAAAGTGCTGGGCTTCCTGACTGCCCAAGGCTGGGAGCAGCCTGGTGACTGGATAGGTAAGGTTCTTCAGGTGGGCACCATCCAGCCCTGCACCCCACATCCCCACCATGAACATGGACCATCCCCTAACCTGCTTGGGGCAGAAGTGCAAATACTCCTTGGCAATGCAGACCAGGAAGAGGGGGTCCAGCTTTTCAAAGTACTCGGGGCTGAGGGGCAGGCCCTGCATGCGGGAGAAGTGCAGCTCCACTGCCTCCTTCAGGAACACTGGGGCCTCTTGCTCCCCCTTGGGTTTCTTGGATGCCAGGAGGGCTTGGAGGAAAACTAGCACCTGTGGAAGAGAGGCCTGAAGCTCAGAGCCAATGCCAGCTGGGGGGGTGGGTAGAGAAGGCAAAGGGGATGCCCAGGTCATTCTGGCTGCCCTTGACTGTTACACCAGGGGTGGGAAGAGAGGGAGATCCAGCAATTCATGGAGCAATCCAGGTCCCCAGGGAGCTCTGACCTCAGACTTCCCAAGAGACTGCTGCACCTCCTTCAGGAACTCCAGCTGGTGTGCGGCCTCCTCTAGCTGGCCTTGTAAGATCTGGCACCAGATGCTCCCTATGAAGGGGACAGAACAAGGATGAGCAAAGCCAGCTCAGAAGCAGAGCCAGGACGAGGAGTGAATGAGACAGTGGAAGGAAGGGTCCCAGGATAGGGGATCTTTTCCAGCATTTTCACAAACTTAAGGAGCAACTATGGGCTCTTTAAGAAATGAAATCAGGCACATATGAATAATAAAAGAAAAATGAAAAAAAAAAAAAAAAGAAATGAAATCAGAAGGCAACATAGAAAAACACCCCTAGTTCATGCTCTGCCTTTAGCAGTCTTTCCACTGCTAACATGACTAACATGTTTGAACATTTCTCTAAATATTTACGTTATGTAACGCGAACATATATATATATATATATATATAGGTGCAGGGTATAACTCAGTGGTAGAGAGCTGGCTTTGCATGTGTGAGGTCCTGGGTTCTGTTCCTAGTACTGCAAAAAAAAATAAATTAACAAAATCTCTCTCTCTCTCTCTCTAGATATGGCTATATACAGATATATATATATATATATATATATATATATATATACATCTGTGTGTGTATGATGCATATATATATATCAGTATATATCTCTATATATATTATATATATTAATGGTTTTAAAAACTGCCAAGGGAAGCCAGGCATGTTGGTTCACGCCTATAATCCCAGCTACTTGGGAGATCATGAGGATCAAGATTCCAGGCCAATCCAATTAGCAAGATCCCATCTCAACAGAACAAGCTGGGTATGGTGGTGTATGCCTGTGAGCTCAGCTATATGGGAGGCATAGGTAGGAGGATCAAGGTCTAAGGCCAACCCCTGGCAAAAATTCGAGATCCTGCCTGAAAAATATCCAAAGTAAAAGAGGGCTGGAGGTGTAGCTCAAGTGACAGAACATGCCTAGCAAGCACAAAGTCCAGAGTTCAAACTCCAGTACCACCAAAAAAAAAAAAAAAAGCAAAGGGAATCAGAGTTTGAATATACCATCCTACACATTGCCTTGGCTTTTCCACTTCATATATGATACATATTTTCTCATCATTTCCTAAGAATCTACCCCACTCTCTTCAGTGACAACATAATGGTCCCCTTTTATTGCTATCCTAGTGAAGGAGCCTTCATTTTACATGTAGTCTATTTTCAGTGTTTAAATATTACAGTGCTGGGTGAACAGTTTTCTGTGTTCAAATTCCCGAAGCAGAGCCAATGTATCAAAGGGCATGCTTACTTTAAACTTCCACCCAAAAGGCCAACTTGTCCTCTGAAGATGACTGATTTTATACTTGCTGCCAAGAATTAGTGTCTTCCCCACACCTCATGGATGCGTTTTAATCTTTATAAGTCTAAAATGTAAAAAGTAACTAGACTGAATTTGCACATACTTCTCCTAGAAATGGGCCTTATGCGTAGTTTTTAGTATCTTTGGATAATGTAATAATCTTATTACAGATTTAAATTAAGTCTACTTAATTTATCAAGTTGTGTTCACACCCTGATTTTACATTCTTGTATCTATCAATAAATATTGTGACACTTCATTATTGGGGTAATGAACATATTTTCATATTTTAATGGTTTTTATGTTCTGTGAATTTCCTGTTTATAGCTTGCCTTTACTTTTGGGGTGATTTTTTTTCTCTTTATATATTAAGGTAACAAACCCTTTGTTAAGAACATTTTTTTCTTAGTTTGCCATTTATCTTCTTAACTATTTTTACAGTGTCTTTTGCCATTTAGTAGTTTAGCTTCTGACTTTGTAACCAGACTTCAAATTCCAAGGGAGACCCAAGTTCCAGTTAATTTTTATGTTTAAATACTTGATTCAACCAGCAATTGTTGAATTAACCAAAATGGTTGAATTAATTCAAAATAATGTTTTTTTTGTTGCTGTTGTTTTGAGACAGAGTCTTGCTATGTAGCTCGGGCTGGCCTCGAACTTACGATCCTCCTTCCTCCATCTCCCAAGGACTGAGGTTATAGGTGCACATCTCCAACTAGGAGTTACCAGACAACCTATCTGTCAGTCTGAAATTGGGCCTGTTATGTCCCATTTGTCTATTTGTTTATTCTAACTAGTGCTGGCCTCAAGCTGACTTAGTTATTGTGATTTTGTGATGCTTTGCTGTTGGGAGGACACATGTCCTCTGTCCCAGCTATTCTTTCCCAGATAATCCTGGCCATTTTGGACTGTTTGTTCCTGATGGTTTTCATGGGTGCCATTTTTGTTTTCTATTATAGCCACTATTTGCCTGTCTGAGGGAGTTTTTCTTTTACCATGATTTTTTCAATTCTTGGCAACTCTTTTTTTTTTTCCCTCTGTAGCATGTTCTTTACTTATTGACAGTAATAGCCTCTGCAAACACTGAAGGTATGAGACAAGAAAGGTCCCTCTGAATGGGACCTACCACTCTTCAGGAGGCCTTGCTGTGTGTCCCACTCCTCTCCTCCCCTTTCACACCGCAAGCAGATTTATAGGCATAGGCCTAGGCTGTTGCGTATTAGCAGCTGGGCAGATTCCCCAAATTGTTAAGTCCAGAGATTTTGCAGACAGGCCATATGAGAAGGTGACATAGGTGAGAGGTCTCATTCTTACCAGTGCTCATCCGCCTTCTGGCCTCTGGGGTCTCCCTGAGATGAGGAAGTGGAGGAAGTCTGAACCTGGTGGAGGACTACTTCAGGGGGTTTGCCTATGTACTGAGCAGCCAGGTCTCTGGTCCTTCACAGCTCTGGTAGTGGTAGGGGGTCCTTTGGGATGTTGCTCTTGTCACTCTAACACCCAGTAAGGACCTCCTTACTTCTAGTCTCAGCTTGGAATGTCCCAGTATCCTCCCATTACCTCACTGACGGCACTTCACATGTTTTTACACCCAGCCTCTGGTGGCCATGAACTTGGGTTGTTTTTCCTGGAGCAATTTGGAGAAAGCTGGTCTCATTTCTCTCCCTGACTCATCTCTGCCTATGTTGGTGTACAGCTATCCAGTCCTGCTTGGGATCTCTATGTATTTCATGCCATTCACCCTACATCTTCTAGCAATGTGAAATTCTTCACATTTCTGGTCCACTGAAGCTGCCTTTCCATGTTTCTATGGCTGCAACAGACTCATTATTTTTTTGAATGTCTTCATTGTTTTCCTTGGGGATGGAGGAGAGGCATGGATTGGATTCAAGAGACCAGCCTGACACGTGGAAGCAGAGGTGATGCTACGTACTCTCATAATTGTGCTGCTTAGGTGAGAAGCCTGGAGTTGAGTTTGCTTCTACCAAACACACAGCTCCTCCAAGCCAGGCCAAGAACCAGCTGTCAAGGCTGGCAATGGACCAGCTTCCTCAACCCAAACTAAACACTGCTGGTTCAGAATTCACAGAGACCACAGAGTTGAGGCTTTAAAAAATTGTGTAAAAAGTCAGGCATGGTAAAGCTCACCTGTGTTCCCAGCACTCAGGAGACTGAAGAGAAAGGATTGTGAGTTTGAGACCAGCCTGGGCTATATATTAAGACCTTGTCTCACAAAAAAAAAAAAAAAAAAAAGATAGGAGGTACTGAGCTTGAGGCCAGCCCAGGAGAAAAAAAGGTAGCAAGACTCTATCTCAAAGAATAAACTGGACGTGTTAGTTCATGCCTATAATCCTAGCTATGGAGGAGACAGATACTGGAAGAGTCACAGTTTAAGGACAGCCCTAGGCCAAAAGCTCAAAAAGCTGATGATCCTATCTGAAAAGTAACTAAAACAAAGCCAAAAAAAAAAGGCTGGAGGCATGGCTCAGGTGGTAGGCCACCTGCTTAGCAAGTACTGGGCCCTGAGTTCAAACTCCAATACTGACAACAGCAACAACAACAAAAAGTGTAAAATGAAAATGGGATCCTGGAAAATTCCTGTGACATTTAAATAGAAGATAAAAAGGGCATCTGGACAGATAAGGAAATGAAATTCTCCAAACTTTCCTCTCTGATGGCCTTTTAGCTCCGGGACTGGCAGAGGGGGCGTCCATAGATATGACTCTCCCTGTCTGTGTGAGGTTGAGTACAGCCATCTCCAGCCCTGGCCTGTGGGGCCTGAGGAGAGGTGGGGCCCACCAAGAATGAGCTTCAGCTGCCAGTCTTCTGGGGAGTAAGGGCATGGACACTGGAGGCCTGACGTGGGTCAAGGTAGCTTTGACTGCACTCCCAGCTGGCCTGTGCCTCTTACATCTACGCTAGTGTACTCACAGAAAGACACCCCATTGTACACTACTCCCCCAAACTCACACATCTCTAGGGGAAATGCTTCTTAGCACTTCTCTTTGGGACCCACAAAGGACACTTCGTTTGGCCCCCAACCCTCTCCCTGCCCAGCCTGCATAGACCTGTCAAGGCGGCCATCCTGTTCTCCTCCATCTGCATGGCCTCTGAGTACCACATACGTGCCTCCTTCACTTGGCTCTGCAGGATGAAGAGGTAGCCCAGCTCTGTGCTCACAAAGGTGCAGGAGGGAGCAACTATGAAGATACGCTCCATGAAGCCGCTCACTAGTCCTAGGATGGCCTGGTGCCTCCCACACTGCAAGGAATAGGCATGCGGGAATTAGAAGACCAGTCAGTCCAGCCTGCCTGAGCAAGGTGCATCTGAAATGGGGGATACTTTAGCAGGGCTGGGTAGGCCCAAGGGGTGACTTGTGTCTGGGCAGCTGGCTCTGTGGAGCTGTCTATTTCCCAAAGAAACTCCCATAGGCAGGCCACATCTGCGGGAACTGCCTCAAGCCACAGGGTCCTCCAAGGGACCCATCCTGTGTAGAGGGACTCATCCCCTGTCTGGCCACAGTAATTGGTATAAGGAGTGTCCAAGGTTTTAAAATCCTTGGAATGTTTTTAAAAATTAAAGCTGGATGAAAGAAATCATGTGTGTTCAGTGATGGCAAGTGGTCCAAAGTCTGTGACCAGCCACATTCCCTGCCATGTGTGGCAAACAAGGCCAAGAGAATCAGAGTCACATGTGAAGGGGGAATCAGTGACCTGGTAGCACTCAGCAATCCAGCTCTGGTCCCTGTGGCCCTGGAGCTGCATTCGTTCTTATAATTCCTTGCTTTGGGGGCTAAAGGTCTAACAAAAGGCACAGATTCTTTGGCAGCTTGGTTAATTTAGACCTTCCCTGATGTCAGAGAGACCTAGGTGGGCCAGCCTTCCCAGGTGGCTTCCATTGGAATATGGGTACTGGGTGAGACTGGCGTGGCTCTGCACAGTAGCTACAATGCCACCCTCTCTCCCTGTCTCTGTAAAAGTCCTTCAGATCCCACTGTCCTGGTCTTCAGAGTATCTCTGATGGAACCTGGGCTAAGGGTAGGGAGCCCACATGTCACATTATCAGACAGGGTTTGTGTCACCAGCCTGAGAGGTCAACTTTGAGCTGGAGGGGGAAAGAAAGGTGCCCAGATCTCTAAGGGAAGCAGAGAGAAGCACTGTTCAGAGACCAGGTGCAACCTTCTTACCAGTCTGCTAACCACAAGAATTTTTTTGAGATGGAGGCTTGGGTTTTTGGGTTCCTTCATCTCTAGTGCCTTGATCAGATTTTTTACACAATCAGAAGCCTGTAGGGACAAAATAGACAATGTTGAAAGCAACACATAGAACCAGACTCAGGTAGGGGTTCTCCACCCTGGCATGTCCCAGTGCCACCCCCAGAGATTCAGAGCTACCTAGATCAGGGTGGGACAGGTGTTGCAATTATTTCAAAGCCCTGTAGGTGAAACCTGAGGGAACATTATTTCCCCAAGAGCTGACCCTACCACTCGATCTGAGTTTGTGAGGAGAAGCTGCCCTGGCAGACCTACAGAGGCAGAGGCTGGAGCCAGCCCTGCTGGGTCATGTCACTGCTCACTAAGTCAGGAGCAAACCACGTGAACCAGCCCAGGCCCTCCACTCCATTTTGATATGGTTACCACGTTGGTGCCTTTCTGTCATTCCATTGTGAGCCATCCCAACAGCACTGTAAGTCTGTGCCACTATCTGAACTTTCTAGTACACAGGAGAAAGGGTCAGAAAAGTTTGGCAGTTGATCTGATGTCACCCAGCCAGTCAGTTGACTAATTCCAAAACTTGAGTTCTTTTTCATTGACTGTTTTGCCTGCTCCCTGCCAGGAATAAGAAGTCCTTAGTTCACAGCTAATAAAAGAGAAACCAGATGGTTGGGTCCATCTTGCTTGCATGGCGAGCAAGACCAGGATCAGAAGTGGGGTGCTGGGCTTTCCCTCAGGCCAGGCCCTAGAAAGGCCTGCCCGGGGGCCGAGGACAGGCTTTTTTCTCTTGTTCCTCCTAGACATGGTGCTGGGGCCCTTTTCAGGGGTTCGTTCCAAACATAGTCTGTCCCCTCCATCTCACTCCAACCCACAAAACCCAGAGCTGTGCAGGAGCTGAAGCTTCTTCTTCCTGTCATGACCCCTTAGAGACTTGTGTTTTACCAGACTCTTCATGAGGTGTTGTACAAGTTCTATTTTATTTGAAAGGCAATGTTTGGGGTAAAAAACCACAAATCTTTTGAAAATAAGAGACTGTCTGAGAACTGAAATTTTTATTAAGAATTCTAGGTGTTTGTGATTGCCTGTGAGAACTACTTTACGTTTCTTTGGAAAACTGCAAGGCTTAGGAGGTGATTTGGGGCATCTACTACCCATCCATTGCCTGAGCAGTTGTAACCATTCCCCGCCAAAGTGACCCTTCCTGAACTCTGAAATACTCTCATGACCTTGACTAGCAGTAACATTGATGGGATTATTGCAGTGTGCCAGACACTGTTCCAAACTGTTCTCTCACCTCCCTTGTCCTTCTAACGACCCCACAGCTCTGTGGAATTATGTCTGTTTTACAGATGAGGTGGCTGAAGCTTTCCCAGGTAGACATTCCTCCTCGGGTTCCCACAGATGGCAGGTGGCAGAGCCAGTGTCAACATCACTGCCAGAGGCTGCCGCTGTTTGAGCTGTATTGCCAAAGGGCTAGGCCAAGGGAAGGCCTCCTGGGCAGGAAGTATGGGAGTAGGATGGAGAGAAGGAAGATCCAGGGGCTCTGTGAACACTTGGAATGGGGCCAGGAACTCAGGCTATAATGGATTCCTCCTTGTCTCTATCAAGGCTCGATTTCTGAGTCTCAAGACAACTTACCGTGGTCACGTTTCCTTCTCTCACAAGCTCATGCATGGCTAGAATTTGGCAGGCATCAATATTGTTTTCATCTTTTTCAAGGATTCTGAAATCAGAAGCGAAGCCACGTGAATTGAGAGTATCGACAGGCCAGCTAGGACGGTGAACTGGCAACTTCCGATCATCCTCTAGTACCCATTCTCCCTTCATCTTTTAACAATAGAACTCCCCAGTCAGCCGGGTACGTGGCTACCCAGAAGAAAAACTGGGCTTTCCAGACTCCTTTCATTGCTTAGGCATGGCCATATGACTAACTTCTGGCTAATAGGACATAAGAGAAAGTGATGCGTGTGATATCGCACTGTGCTGTGGCAGCTCCTGTGCCTCTCACTCTTTCTTCCTCCTGTCTGGAACGTGGACTGTGTAGACAGAAGGGCCTGGAGTCCAACAGAGTCACAACATCCCAGTCTTGAACCACCAACCAGACTTTTACCTGAGACATGAAATACCTTGTATGTTATAAAGGGGACATGTCTTACTACAGAAACTTATTCAGACCCCAACTAGTCAGACCCCCAACTTTCATGTTACAGGGGCAGAAAGGCACATCCAGGGTAGCCCGTGGCTAAGACGGAAAGGGAGCCTTGGTTTTGCTCATGTGTCATCGTGAAGACGTGTCTTCTGATCATACTTTGGGGACTTTTGTTTTGGCTTTTTGGTGGGACTGGGGTTTGAACTCAGGGCTTTGTGCTTGCTAGGCATGTGCTCTACTACTTGAGCCAGACATCCAGTCTCTACTACAGGGACTTTGACATTCTGTTTCTTTATAGAAAGTTGGTATTTTTCAGCCTGGTCAGGGAATGACCTTCTATTTGAGTGTTACTCAAATTAACAGACAAAATTCCAACATGATTAGGGTGCAACCAACTTTCAAAGAGTTCTAACCATTGCTAGTGATTCTGAAAGCATTGTGAACCTCATGCATTTAGAAGTAGCAAAAGAAAAGAATGACTCACCTTTAAATAATTTATGGGCCAAAGAAGATCAGAATGGATACTAGAAAATTCTTAGAAAACGCACTCAAGGTGGCTAAGGCAGGAAGACTGGCAATTCAGGGCCTGCCCGGGCTACACAGCTAGGTTGCTAGGTTGGGCTGCATTAGGGAGACCCTATCTCAAAAAGCAAGCAAACAAAAACCAAAAAGAAGGAAACACACAATACCCACCAACAACAAAAAAGAAAACTAGAAGCCAAAGATACTGAAAATACTACAAATTCAAATGTGAGGACCCTTTTTGAATGGTACCTCAAAGGACATCCATAGAGCTAGTGCTTGGCTGGGGATGTGGCTGAGTGGTAGAGCATTGCCTAGCATGCATGAGGCCCTGAGTTCGATCCCCAGCACTGGAGGAAAAAAAAAAAAAAAAGAGCCAGGTGCTGGTGCTGGTGGCTGAGCCTGTAATCTTAGCTATTCAGGAGGCAGAGAACAGGAGGATTGCTATTCAGCCTGGGCAAACAGTTCTGCAAGACCCTATCGTGAAAAAACCCTTCACAAAAAAGGGCTGGTGGGGTGGCTCAAGGTGTAGGCCTTGAGTTCAAGCCCCAGTACCGCAAAAATAAATAAATCAATAAAATAGCTCACAAGACCCCATCTCCAAAATAACCAGAACAAAATGGACTGGAGGGATGGCTCAAGCGGTAGAGCACCTGCTTTGCAAGTACAAAGCCCTGATTTCAAACCCCGGTCCCACCAAAAACAAAAGTATATAGGAGACTGTACAGAGGAAGCACACAAATACTAGACCTAATGCTTATCTGTTCTAAAATAGGATCAAAAATAGATGAGCTGGAGGTCTGACTCAAGAGTTAGAATGTAGCAACAGAGTAATTCTGAAGGAAGTAGTTGGCTGGGAGTAATAAATTTAAGAACAGAAAAGAATAAATTAGAAAACAATGATACGATAGAGAGGATCTGTAAAACTCAAAGCTGGTTATTTTAAAAGGCTAATAAAAGGGACAAATTTGCCAGGCACTGGTGGCTCACGCCTGTAATACTAGCTACTCAGGAGGCAGAGATCAGAAGGATCCGTTTTGAAGCCAGCCTGGGCAAATAGTTCTAGAGACCCTATCTCAAAAAAACTTTAACAAAAAAGAGCTGGTGGAGTGGCTCAAGGTGTAGGCCCTGAGGTCAAAGCCTAGTGCCACAAAAAAAAAAAAAAGAGGGACAGGGTCTTGCTATGTAGTCCAGGCTGGCTTTGAACTTGTAATCCTCCTGCCTCTGCCTCCAGAATGCTGGGACTTCAGGCATGTGCCACCATGCTCTGTAAGACAAACTGTTTTAATATTGATGAGAAAATGAGAAAGAAAAATAAATAATATTAGGGAAGAAAGGTTTTATACCTAATAGAGTGGAGGTTTTTTTTAAAGAAAAAAACAGTGAAAGAATTCAGTAAACACACTTTCTGGAAAGCTTCCAGGGGAAGGCACAGGGCACTAGACTCAACCTGCTGGCACCAAATGCATCTCCCTGCATGTGGCACACAGGGCACAGCGAGAGAGGCCACACCACCCACAGTCTGGCCTTTAGCCAGGTGGCTTGCATGTAAGCTGTGGGCTCAAGTCCAAGCCTCCAAAGTAAGCGCTTGCCAAGGGATGGGTCAGGTCTACATGGTGAGGGAGGGGGAGCTGAGGGTCACATGGGTGCTACACGTGTGGCTAGGTAGGTGGAGTTGCTTCCTATGCCCTGCCAGGACCTCTTTATAATTCAAATTCTAGTTACCAGCAGGGGAGTTGGAGTCACTCTGCAGGTTGTTGTGTGGGTTTTTCCCTAGAACTGTGCTGTAAATACCACATACTCAGGAACAAGTCATAGTGATGAACTCATGTGCCATTAACTCTTGTTAGGAAAGAAAATTATGATCAAACGTTTATGAATTACTATAATAAAAATTGTTAAAGTGGTAGTTTCAAGAGATTTGTAGAGCTGGCGGTGTGGCTCGAGTGGTAGAGCACTTGCCTAGCAAGTGCAAGGCCCTGAGTCTGCTAACTCCTGAACTCCTGTTTTTTTTTTTTTTCTTGGTGGTATTGGGGTTTGAACCCGGCCTCACACTTGCTAGGCAGGTGCTCTACCACTTGAGCCATTCTGCCAACCCTCTGAACTCCTGTTTTTGACTTATGTATCCCACGGGCTACCAAAACTCTTCTGTCAAAGTCACCAGTGGTCTTTCCCCATGTAGTTGGTGTGGTTATTTTGGAAGTACTGGGGTTTGAACTCAGAACCTTGCACTTTTAGGCAAGCACTGTACCACTGAAGGTAGCCCCCAGCCCCCAATGAAGAAAAATCTATGGAACTCATGAATTTGTGTGAAGCAAATTCTTACACTACCCCCTGAAGTTCATCAGAGTGTGAGTTTTCTTCCTTCCTTCCTTCTCTTTTTTTTTGCTGTGCTGGGGTTTGAACTTGCTAGGCAGGCACTCTTACTGCTTGAGCCACTCCACCAGCCCTTTTTGTTGTAATGGCTTTTTCGGAAATGGGGTCTCCAGAACTATTTGCCCGTGGTTGGCTTTGAACCAAGATCCTCCTGATCTCTGCCTCCTGAGTAGCTAGGACTACAGGTGTGAGCCACTAGCACCCTGCTATGCCTCTGTTTCTTGCTTTCTTCATCCTATGCCACAGCCCGGCCTCATGTTGCAACTGCTGAGAATTTACTTTGCTCACCCCAGTCCTTCCCCTCCTCTACCCCCGAGTCTGCTCCTATCACTATCAAACCTCCTTGATGGGTGGTATTGACCTTCCTGTCCTACTCTCCACCTCCTTATATTGGAAGATGGGAACCTATCAGCACCCTTGGCTTGGAAAGCTGGGCGAGTGGGCCTGGCCCCTCACCTGTATGCTGTTTCAATCGTCTGCTCCCAGTCGTGCCGAGCCAAGAACAGCCGCATCTTTAAGATTAAGGCCGGCAGGAAGCTCCCCAAGGTCACAGTGATCTGGTTCACCACTTCCAGGGCCCCGGAGAAGTTCTGTTGTGTCATGAGGTACTTTGCCTATTGGAAGCCAGAGAGAAGACCCTATATCAGTGAGGAGGTGTCAATGTCTCCCTCAAGGCAGGGTGGGCAAGGCAGATCCTCACAGCTGGGCCAGGGAGTCCTTAGGCACAAATATTAACTGTGGATGCTTAACGGCAAGGCCGGAGACTTTTTTTTTTTTTTTCTGAGAAGGCCTCTTGTGCTGGTGTCATGGCCTCGTGAGGCAGAGACAGCCACCAGGTTCTCCTGGGAGAGTGATGACAAGTGCCCTGAGGACCAGGGGGTTAGGTTTCTAATGGACTTGAAATTGGATCCTGAAAGGTTGACTTAATTTAGACCTACAACAAACCCCCTTCTCCCAAGTCTTCTCACTAAAACAAGAAAGGATTACTCTGAATAAGAAAGACATGTGTACACATGGGTTCAACCTGCACACTTCCTAAGGGCACAAGTAAGAGTCCCAACTCCCAAACCAGGAGGGGACGGGGTGGGAAATTGTATTATGCCCATGCAATAGGCGACTGGTATTATGTACATGTTAAAAATGGCATTTGCTTATTAAAGAATATTACCAGAAGGAAAAGAAACTAGGCAATGAAAAACCCTAGGATTAAAACTACAGCACCTAACCACACTTTTCCCACCCCATAACCAAGGCTGCATTTGACCTCCCACTTCAGGATGAGGAGAGCCGGTGGTGATGGCTCTTAGTGGGGCATCCATGGCTAAGAGAGCTGCCTCATCCCAGACCATACCCTTTCCCAGGGCAATCCTCACCCTGTGTCTGGCCATAGAGGGGGTCCTAGCTCAGTGTTCCCCAGGGAATTGGCTGAGTCCCTTTCTGTGACTGCGTACAGCCCAGTTTCTCTCCTTGACAAGCCTCCTGGGACAATCTCCATTACTCTGTGGTCTTGTACACCAACCCAGAGAAGCAGCTGGGAGACACAGCACAGCAGGGTTAGCATGAGCTGTGTGGAGTGGTAATGTTAAGCATCATCCTCACTCATCTTTTGACTCTTTCAGACTTCTGGATTTTCAAGGAATATGTATATATTCATTTTATAAGGAGATGCATGAACAGGAGAATGAGAGGATGTTTTTCTCTCAAAGATTGAGTCAGAGAGGGTCACGAAAGAAAAAAGGAACTTAATTTGAATTAAGATCAGAATGCACAAAATATATAAAATATATGTCTTCCCTTTTCTTATGGTACTGGGTGTCTATAACAGAGTGAAATGAGAAGTTAAAAGAATGATGTGGAAAAAAGGGCAGGGAATGAAACCAAGAAAGAGGCAAAGAGGGAGAAAGCTTGAAGGAGTCCAGGAAGGACAGACCCTGGAAAGTGACCCTGAGAAGACCCAATGCAGAATGAGACAAAGACTCACACCAAGCAGGAAGAAGTGGGCCCTGGTCTGCTGTATAAGCCTGGGCTGGTTGCTAACACTCTCTGGGCCTTTGCTCCCCATTTACCAGATGAAGTACCTGGAGTCTGAAGGTACAGCCTTCAGCAGGTCTCTGGCTCCAGTGGCCCAGTCAGGGATACGCCCCCCTTCTCTCCTCCCCTCTGCCCACCTTTCCCATCAGCCCCAGCACATCTTTGGTGTCCTGAATTCCTTGCTCCAGGTACTTGATGGATTTCTTCACAGCATGGGGCTTATCCGAGGTGAGGTCCACCCAGCCTTTGAGTACATAGGCCTGGATGAGAACAAGAGGAAAGATGAAGTGTTTGGGCCTGCACAGCCTTAACCTTCCCTGCTCATGTCACCCTTTACCATTCTGCTGGTCATAAGCACGTGCAGATCCTATGGCTGCCTGCTCCCTCTCTGCCAAGTCCCCCACTACCAGAGATGCCCTGCCAGCACCTTCCCCTCCCTTACCTGATCAGCTACTAGTCTTTCCTGCCCAGTCAGGGAGGACCCTCTGTAGGTGGTATTCCTCCCTGTGTCCCCACTGCTTTCTATCACCGCTTACTGATGTTCTCTCCCATCTCACCCCTGCGTGCCCACTTTACACTGGGCCCAGGAGCAATATAGGGGCACAGACAGGGTCCCTGTTGGTGTCTCCACTTCTTAGCGTCACCCAGGATCTGGCCCTGCATGTGAAGCCTGGAGCCATGCTCTGCATGGTGGGCAGCAGCCATTCTGAGTTCCTGGACCTTGCTGGTTCCTCACACCAGCCTTCACCCAAACTCTCCTGGAGGATGGGGAGAGCCAGGACTGGGAAGCAGCACTGGAGGTACTTGGAGGCCCCTGCCCTGAAGCGTCCCTGGACGGCCCAACCTTGTGTTTCTCTTTTTCCATTCTCTCTCCCAAGGAGTCTTTTTAGACAACCTTCCTGCTCTAAGAAATATTAATATTGCAGATACACTGTATTTGTGTACTATATACTGCATATTTATGTGTGTTTTATACATAAAGAATAAGTTTTTTATTCCCTTCCCCAAGAACCAACATTTTCAGCCTTGAAAACTGATGTCAGTCCTTCTGAGCAAGCAGGGCCTGGCCAGAGGCCTCAGATTCTACATCAGCACAGATGTCCTACATATCACCCATGCCATGTGGAACTACCATTCACATCCAGCAGACCTCTGGTGAGGCGATGGCCCAGTGCAGCCAGCCCATTGGGATTTCCAAGAGAACCAGGAAATGTGGATTTCTAATTCCAGATTTTTCCAAAACAATAGTGCAGGCCACAGAAACCTGCCTAGAGATAGGACCCTGTGGACGAATGCCAATGTATTGTGAGACAGCCTGGGTGGTATACCCATGAGTCCCAGGGTCCTGTCATTGCCTGGGTGTGCCGCCTCCCCCTCCATTCTAGGGCCCCTGTGGGAGTAATGGGCCGCCTTGCTGTGATGCGTTTGGACGGCATGCTCTGTGGTTGTTGCTCATGGTGGGTACCTCTCTGGAGCTGCCAGAGACCTTCAGCATGTGGTCAATGTACTCCTTGGCTTTGTCATGGTGGCCTGTGAGCCAGAGGAAGAGGCTGGCATAGTATAGGGCAGTCTTGTTAGCTGTCTTGCGGATTTCCTTCAGGCTGCTCTCCAGCTCTTGAATCGCTTCTCGGTCTGTAAATCCAGAGGGAAAGAAGAGACCAAGTTAGGATGACAAGGTTTGCCTGGCTCTGCAGGGGCCACTGTGGGCCCAGGGAGCTACCTCTGGACATTTTGGCTCTCCCTTCACACTTGCAGCTGACTATGGGCCAGCCCAGGGCCTGGAAACCAGAAACACCTCTCCCTAGGATGCCACAGGGGCTGCCCAGGACTGGACTTGCTTTGCTGCCTGAGATTTACTTCTTTTTCTGTTCCTAGCAATGTGCCAAGCAGACAGACTGCACCTGAATCCTTTGTTCACCCCACAGCCCATTTTGGGTGGGGGATGGTAGCTTTTCATCTCTCCTGGTACTTTGCCCTGACTCTAAAGACATGGTGAGTAGGGTAGGATTTGTTTATATTGGCTGGATTTTTCTGACAAGAACATGATGAAGGAAAGCAAAGTAATTCCCCAGCTCTTGGGGTCTTGAGGGAGAACCTCTTCCAGTCCACTGGGCCCAGGGCACAGGGTCTTCTCTAGGCCTCTCAGGGGAGGGAAGAGGGCCACTGCTCACTGGTCAGCAACAGCTGCAATCATTCATGCATATATGTCCTCTGGCAGCTCTAAGAGGCTGTGTCTCTGGAATGGGCTTTTCCTCCTGCAGGAACAGGCCCAGCTGAACATGGCTATACTCACCGATGGTTTCACAGCATTTATGAGCATAGATAAGAGCCATGACGGAGCACAGGGACATGTCTGGGTGATTCTGGATGCTCTCCAGGTCGCTGATGGCATCCTGGATATGCTCTGCAAAGACAGTGCATCAGGCTCCAGGTCTGGGGCAGGAGACCATTGGTCACATGGGACCTCTAAGGGCTGACTCACAGCTTGATACCACCTGCCTTCATCCAGAATCTGAGGACTAACTGGACTGAAAAACCAGGTATTGAAGCTCTCTGAAAATGCTGCTGACACAATGGACATGGCTGCCAGGGCTACAGGTCTTGGAGCTGAAAGGGGTGCCTGCAAGTACTTTCAGCAATACTTGCAAGGCTGGGATGGTTGGCTGGGGTCAGTTCTGAAGAGGGACCTCAGGCTGGCATTTGTGTCCCCGACACTGGCCATGGCAGCTCAGCCAGCCCTCAGCCCAGGACACCTTTGGAATATCAGTGAGTCAGCTCTGCAGGGGCCCCACTCCTCTGGCACCTGTATCATACGTGCCTGGGACCACACCTCCAATTTCCTCCTTTCCTGCAGAGCCAGCTCTCAGCTTCCAAGCTGGGATTTAGTTCAACAGTCATGCAGTCATCTTTCCAATCACACATTTTACAGATAGGGAAACTGAGGTGCAAAGCAGGGATAATCAACTCTCTGAGGTCTCAAAAGCCAACTAAATAAGGATTACACGGATCTAAGTAGGCATCCAGGTCCAGCCAGACTATTAGGGCTGGCCTACTACCTGGGTTGGACTGCCATGCTGCAAGTCCTTACCTTCCCTGAGGACTCCATAGGCTTTGAAGAACTGCAACACAGGGTCATTGCTGAATTTCTCCAGGCCCACAGCTGCAGCCTGCTGCACATGGTGGAAGTACTTTTCCTGGCTATAGTAAATGATCCCAGCCTGTGTGGAGGAAGACATAATTGGAATAGCTCCAGTCCCTTCTCTAGCTCTGATCTGACCTGGATGACATAAGACCTGCTGTCTGCCCACCCTCCCTCCCAAGTTCTGTGAAGGGAAGATAAAGAGGGAACATTCAGGCCTCATCCAGTTGTCCAGTCTTTAGCAGCCCTGGGAGTAGCTTCATGGAGTTTCCCCAGGAAGGAGTTTACAGGTGTTTGCTTGAGGATTACCATTAGATTCTGGTTCAAATATGATGTGAAATAAAACTTAGGCTTTGGGGCTTGTGGAGTGGCTCAGGTGGTAGAGCACCTGCCTAGCAAGTGTGAGGCCCTGAGTTCAAACCCCAGTACTGCCCTCCTCCCCCCCAAACATTGTGCTGTCAACTCAGGCTTTGTCTTAGGAGGGGAATAAAGAGGAGGAGAACCAACAATAAGGAAAATTATACCAGTAGTTAAAGTTATTGTTAGGGACTATTAGGGATTCCATCCATTATCTTATATATGATCCTCTCCATACCTTTCAGTTAAGGAATCTTGAGTCCATGGGGACTGTGGCTTGACAAAGGTCAAGGAATGGTAGGACTGAGATTTCCCAGCTAAGTCTCACTTCCCCTAAGGTTTGTGGGTGTTAGGGATGGGGCTAGTTGTGGTTGGGTTGTAAAAGCCTGTGGGTCATATGAGAGAGCCCAGACATCATCCAGTTGGAATGGTTTTAAGCTGGGGAGGGATGTGTTCAGATGTGGTGTGTGGTGGTTGTGCGTGATTTCAGGGGGTACTGCTGGTGAAGAGCGCTGAGGCAGGGAAACCAGGCACGAGGGAAGCTGTTGCAAGTGTCTAGGGGAGAGATGATGGCTCTGGGCTAGGCGGTTAAAAGAAGTGGGTGACCCCTGGAGACATTTAGGAGCTGACATTTCTTGTTGATAGGATTGGGAGATGGGTATAGGGAAGATGAATTAAGGCCAGAATGGCGACATCTACTGAGTGCGCGGTCACAGAAGAGGCGCAGGCGCAGTGGGGTAGGGGTTAAGCCGAGGAGATGATGACAAAAGGATGGACACAGGATGATCTGATCTGGTTTGCAGGAGCTCAGGGGACAGGAGCGGATTTGGGGGGGTGCCAGTTTGGGGCTCAGGTTGCACAGAGAGTATCAGAAGTGATGCACTCGCCAGGGAGCATGAGACAAAAAAGGGCAGGGCCTCCTCAGGCGGCTTAGGGACAGAGAAGGGCAGGCAGAGAGGTGGCCTGAGAGCAGCAGGGCGGGGATCACCGGGCCGGGGGCAGTGTCCGGAAGGGAGAGGCCGCCACGCACCAGGAGGGAGGAGTCATTGCTGCTCATGTCCGGCCGCTCGCGACTCTGTGTCGGGCTCTAGTAAGGCGGTGCGGAGCAGGATTCCGGGGACTGGGTCCTGGCCAAGCGTCTCGCGGGCGGAAGTGGGAGGTGCGCGCGTCCTTGGAAACCAGGCGGCCCGAGGGTTGCTAAGGGCGGAGACGACGGGAGCGGGCGTGGCTCAGCACCCACGTGACCAGGCTCGGGCAGCCGAGCGCCGAGCGGGCGAGTTTGCAAGGCGCCGGGGCTGCCTGCCGGGTCGGAGCCGCAGTACCGAGCGGAGCCGTCGTCATGGGCCTGGGCGCCAGCGCCGAGCAGCCTGCGGGCGGCGCCGAGGGTTTCCACCTGCACGGGGTGAGTCGGCCTGCGGCGGCGCCGGAAACCTTGGTGGCGGGTCCGCAGCGACACGTCCCGGCGTACGGTCGCCGGCCGCCGGCGGCGGGGGTCCCGGCCTGAGTGTGGCCGTCCATTTGGCGGGCGGTGCACTCTGCCTGGTGCCCTCCGAACCTAACCTAAGGGGCTTCGGACCCCGCGCCTGTCCCGAGTGCCAGCTGGGCAGGAAGCGAAGCGTTTCCTGGTGGCGCGTCCCCGAATAGCGTTCTTTCCGGGTGAAGAACGCGCAGCTCCAGTGGGGACGCACTTGTGCACGTGCAGACGCTGGTGATCGCTCGCGTCTCCCGCGCGCCTCCTGGCCTGGGGACAGCCGGCAGCGCCGAGGAGCGGGTGGTCCCCGCAGCGGATGCTGCAGTCCCGGGATCGGGGGTGTCCGTGGGCGCCGATCCCGCCTGTTGAGAGGTCGGAAGTCTGCAGCGGAAGACTGTCAGGGAAGTGGGGAGCCGGAAGCCAGGAGCGCTAGGGGAGGGTCTCCAGGGTGACACCGCGCGGAGACTGGCGAAATGGGGGCGGGAATGGCCTTTAGGTGCCGTCTTCAGGGAGGTGTGGACGAGCAGGTTGCGGGTAAATGGAGACGGAGTGTGGGTCCGAGTCTGGCTGTGAAGGTGAGGAGAGAAGCCTGCAACCAGATGGGGACTTGGGACTGGGGCTGTGATACTCAAGCGCAATGGGGAACAGCCCTCCTCCCCACCATTCCCTTGTAAAAAGCCGATGCATGCAGAGATGCGTGGAGTACCAGCCAGATTGCCTTTTAGGTTCCTGGCTGGGAGTGGTCTCTGGTTTTAAGGGAGGCTCCCTTACCAGCTCTACCACATGAGAGGGCTACAAGGGGTGTCGTAGCAAGGCCAGGGTGACTTTGGAGGTGACAGGATTTGTGCTTGATGTGGGCTTCCTCACGGACTGTGGAATGCACCCAGCCAGGTTTGATGGAAGGCAAAGCAATTCAGGCAGGGAGGCTGTGGGAGTGAAGACAGGAGGGGCCTGATGGAGAGGGACAGGCTGATGAGGCCACAGGATCAGGGGTCATCCTCATACAAATATATTTTTGAGCACACACTGTGGCAGGCAGTTCTGGGCATCAGGAAACAGAATAGGCATCGTCCCTGTTATCATGGCGCTTACATATGGATGTCAGCTTGGAGAGAAGGAAGACCATTAAGAAATACATGGTAGGTGGTAATAATCGCTAGTGAGAATAATTAAATAAGTTATGGGAGAAAGAGTGATGGATGACTTGGTGCTGTTTTGGACAGAGTGGTCAGGCAAAACATTGATCAAAGAACATTAAGCAGATGCCTGGGCAGCAAGGAAGGAGCCAACAGTACAGACATAGGAGGGAAGAGCAGGCTGCAGAAGGCCTTGTGTGCAGAGGGTGCAAGAGGCCTGAGGAGGGTCCTGCTGGCCTCTGAGGAAATACCCAAGGAGGTACCGGCTGTGTCCTGGGGGGGTGTGGCTGGTGTCAGGAAGAGAATGCAGAGGATGAGGCCAGATTGTAGAAGTCCTTGCATGTCATCCTGAAGATTTAAAATGTTACTCAGAGGTGAGGACTGACATGATGTTTACATTTTTAAAAGCTGAAGAGCAAATGAGCTGGATTGAATCCCAGCGTTCCACTGTGCACCATGCACACAGGAAACATTCTTGCCTTTAGAAAATGGCTGTTATAGGGAGGTGGTTAGAAGAGGACTCAGTTGGATTTCCTGTGGTCAGATTAGTAAATTGCGGAATCCCTTTTCTCACCTGTTAAATTGGGTTAGTAAGAGGGCTAACTGGCCAGGCACTCGTGGTTCATACCTGTAATACTAGCTATTTGGGAGGATCAAGGTTAGAGGCCAGTCTGAGCAAATATATCTTGAGCTCTCATCTCCAAACTTAACTGAGCAGAATAGACTAGAGGTAGCTCAAGTGGTAGAGCACTACTTTGCAAACATGAAGCCCTGAGTTCAATGCCATTAAGTTAAGTTGTTCAGTTCCCTGATTGGAAAAACTACAGGTTGGGGTGTTTGGAAAAGCCCCACATATTGGACTATAGAATGGAGGGCAGTGGGTTTTGCAGGAAGAGGGTGCAGTTGGCAGCAGCATAGAACATTTCTGCTGTGGAACCCTCATGAGCAGAGTGAAGGGGGTGGAATATAGAATGGCACAGCAGGGCTGGAGAGCAGACTGGGTGGAGGTACTTGGAGGCCTGGGGGCTTGAGCCTTGGGGCCTTGTTTATGATGGGGTAGATGACATAGGGCTCCGGAGGGTCGAACCAGCTGGGAAGCTGTGGCCTTATGTAAGGGAGATGGAGTGGCTTGAAAATGGCCCTGCTTTGGAAGAAGTACCCCACCCCAAGGTAGTCCTGTCCTGTGGTCTTCAAAAGTCCTCAGAGGGGCAGAGGGCAGGGCTCAGAGCTCCCTTGAAGCAGGGCCTGGGAGTAGCTTGCCCTGTATGCTGAGGCAGTTGGGGCTGCAAGTAGTTGCTGGTTCTCCATGGCAGCTTCTGGATGTGGCAAGCAGGGAGGGGCTCTGTTGGAGAAGCCCCCGGAGGGAGTCCTAATGCCTGGAGCAAAGCGGCCTTCATCCATTCTTGGCAGGCGTTCCAGGAGCTCTCTTGCTGCCTGGGGAATCCAGGCATGGAGAATCTGAGGTCACCTGGGGCCTGCTGATGCCTAACCCAAGAGGTCAGCAGGTGTCCACAGCCAAAGATTTCCACAATCTTCAGGGTTTAGGAGCTGGGGACAAAGGCCACATTGTTGACCTAGGCTTTGTCAGTGAGGCCTTTGAGATAGCTTTCTGCCACAGTGTGCCAGTCCTGGTAGTACTTTGGAGACAGCAGTGAGCTGGGAGTTCAGGGAAGGTCAGGGAGTACCCTGGGGCTGGGAATAGCCCTGGAGGAGGTACCTTGCAGGAGGCTGGACTGAGAGGCTACAGGCTCAACTGAGCCATTAGGGAGGCTTCTCCGGCTATTCTGCCCTTGAGGTTTGCTCACCACCTCCATCATGCTTCAGTAGCTCTCATGGCCTGCTGACTGAGCCTGGGTTAGCCACACAGGGCCTGGGGCCCTCCATGATCTGGCCCAGTCTGTCTTTCCCACTCCCTCTTGCTGAACATTGCCCTAGTTGCCTCTCTCCTGTATGCTGGGGCTCCCCGTGTCCGTGTCTAAACTTTTCTGGTACTCCCTTGCAGCTTCCCCACTGGCCCAGGGTGGCCTTACCACAGGTATCTCCACATTTGTCCCAAGGCCATCTGGGCTGTGAGGCATCCCTGGAGCCTCTGGGGATCGTGATGAGGAGAAGCAGCATTTTCTGAGAGGAAAACTTGTGCCTAGGATGGTAGTGAGAGGGAGGAGCGAGCCTTGACAATGCCCAGAGCAGGTCATGCCTCTGGAGGGAACAGGGAGTGCCCACGGGTGCCAGAACTGAGGGCAGGGCCTCCTGAGGAGCCTGGGGTTCTGGGGTTGGTGTAGTGACAGACCTCTGCTGTGGTTAGGTGCAGGAGAACTCCCCAGCCCAGCAGGCGGGCCTGGAGCCCTACTTTGACTTCATCATCACCATTGGGCACTCGAGGCTGGTAAGGCTGTCTGTCCTATCTCTACTTTGCTTTTGTCTGTGCACCTACCCCTGCCTCCCTTTTCTTCCTGGTGGTCACAAGGCCTAAGGGGCCTGCCCCCTGGGGCAAGAGAGCTCTGGTGAAGGGACAGCACTGGGTTGCCTGGATCCTGGAAGCATTTTGCTTGCTTTGTTTTCTGGCAGGCTGGGGGAGGAAGGTTTGGTAGCCCTTGAGGTACTGGGAGGTAGGGGTCACAGCAGCCTCATGTCCAGCCCAGCCTGTGAATCTGGGCCTAGCTGTTGCCTCAGCTCATCCCCACACCAAGCTCTGCTGAGCTGCTGACCACTAGGGCCCTTGCCCCACCTCAGGCCCTATCCTGTCTAAGGGCCTGGCCTGGGGTGGGGGTCAGGGGACCTTGGAGTCAGCCCAGCTGCCCTTGCAGAACAAGGAGAATGACACACTGAAGGCACTTCTGAAGGCCAATGTGGAGAAGCCTGTGAAGCTGGAGGTGTTCAATATGAAGACCATGAAGGTGCGCGAGGTGGAGGTGGTACCCAGCAACATGTGGGGTGGCCAGGGCCTGCTGGGTGCCAGTGTGCGTTTCTGCAGTTTCCGAAGGGCCAGTGAACATGTGTGGCATGTGCTGGTGAGTACAGGGAGAAGGTGGGTCCAGTTTCCTGGGCAGGTCTGGGCGGGGGTGGGGCATGCAGGAATAGGATGGGCAGAGGCCAGTGCGGAGAGGGCATCTCATTACCATTTGGACAGTGTCTTCTGCTTTTTGTTAGCCATGTTATTTGGGCACCCTAGTTTCTATACTTTGGTTATTTTGAAAGGTAGGGATAGCATATACTAGAATGGTGCTTGCACTTATCTCTCGAGATCGAGCTGTAACAGACACATAAGTGAACCTCAGTGATGACTGAGCTACCGTAGAGGTGTCTATTCACAGATGCCTATACAGCTGGCACCTGTGTGCATTGATGGTGTCTAGGTCCTCAAACACTAGGGCCTTTGGCTTGGTGGAAGCAGAGTGCCTTGAGCTGGAAATGCTGCTTTGTGCCCTGGCCTCCTACTGCTGATGACTGGGAGGAGGCCTTGGCAGCCTGCCTGCAAAGGTTTGCCCAGGGTAAAGAGGGCTGATGGTACAGCTCTCTTTCAGTTTCTCAGTCCTTATAACCTAGTTAAAAAATTTTTTTTTGTGGGACTGGATTTGAACTCAGGGCTTTGCACTTGCAAGGTACATGTTCTACCACTTGAGCTACATCTCCAGCCCATTTTGCTCTAGGTATTTTGGAGATGGAGGCTTTCAAACTGTTTGCCAGGGCTGGCCCCAAACTATGATCCTCCAATTTCTGCCTCCCAAGTAGCTAGGATTATAGGCATGAGCCACCTGTGCCCAGCTATAACCTAGTTTTGTGTTTTGCTCACTGCCCTGACCTCTAGCCCCTACCCAGGGGTCTCCAGGCACATGTCTGCCTGCAGCAGAAGCAGCAACATAGTTGGGCACTGACTGTGGCCAAGGTGTGGTTTTCTATTTTTTGGTGGCCTTGAGGTTTGAACTCAGGGCCTCACACAGGCTAGTCAAGCCCTCTACCACTTGAGCCAATGCCCTCCAACCCTCTTTGGTTTTAGTTATTTTTTGGATAGGGTCTTGTGTTTTACCTCAGGCTGGCCTTGGACCATGATCCTACCCATGCCTCCCACACAGCTGAGATTACAGGTGTGACCAATAACTGGCTTCATGCATTTCTCAGTAACCCTGTGAAACCTTTTAATTGTGTGGAAACTGATGCTGAGAGGTTCAGTAATTTGCTTGCAAAAGTCACAAAGCTAGCAGTTGGGGTGGGTCAGGATGGCAGAGGGGAACATGAGGGAGTCTGAGCTTGAAGCCCTGTTTGGGGAACACAGGGCAAGTGTCCTAACACTAGCTGGAGAGGCAGCTCCCCTACCTTTTCTCCCCTCAATAGCAAGGCTGAGTTTGCCATTCTTCTTCAGGATGTGGAACCATCTTCCCCTGCTGCCCTTGCCGGCCTGTGCCCCTATACAGACTACGTGGTCGGTTCAGACCAGATCCTCCAGGAGGTGAGGAACCAGTGGCTTGCCCCTCCAAGGCCCAGGCCAGGGTGTGGAGAGATGGGTAGTGTCCATTAACCATTCGTGAAAAGTATCTCGTGTCAAGGCATCCAGTCCAGTGCTGGGCTCAGGCCTCAGGGGCTGTGTGTTTCTCATAGTCTGAAGACTTCTTTTCACTCATCGAGTCCCACGAAGGGAAGCCCTTGAAGCTGATGGTGTATAACTCCGAGTCTGACTCCTGCCGGGAGGTGACAGTAACTCCTAACGCAGCCTGGGGTGGAGAGGGCAGGTACTGCCTAGAGCCCGAGGGCCACAGGGCTAGGTGGGTGGGCCTGCGAGTGACCTTGGTTCTCCAGAAGTCCCTGGAGGAAACAGCTGGGCCCTGAGAGTTTCCCAGGAACTCTGAGCTGGCCTCTGGTCCAGGAGTGCCCTTCCTTGCCTGTTATTGCTGGGTTTGGGGTGGGGGATAGGTTCAGGTAGGGAGGGCTGTGGCTGTGGACTGCCCCCTGAATTAAGTGTTTTTGGCTTTTGGCAGTCTGGGGTGTGGTGTTGGCTATGGGTATCTCCACCGGATCCCAACCCAGCCCCACAACCACCGTAAGAAGCTACCTGGTGCCCTGCCACCTGGCACCTCACCACTTGATGCCTTACCACCTGATAGCCCACTACCTGATGCCTCACCACCTCGGCCCACCCCCCAGGATTCTCCTGGCCTGGAGATGAGTTCTAGGCAAAGTGACTACATGGAGGTTTGTGGGCAGCACATGTTAGCCAAGGGAAGAGGGGAGCTTTGTGGGCAGTGGGGCCTGCCAGCTGGGAAATGGCTTAAGTCCATCTTTAGGGAGTCACCGAGACTTCACAAGGGACCTGCCTGTGAGGTCCTTGTGCCTTTTGAGAGGCTGATCTGCTTCTGGAACCCAGTGGGAGCTGATGGGCACTGTCCTTCCTGCCCCTTGGGTCTAGAGGTAAGGGTGGAGACACTGATTACTTCATTTCAGGAACAGGAAACTGAGACTTAAGAGATCAGGAGAGCCTTGCTCTGTGCCTAAGTGAGTCTATGGAGAAGCTGAGCCAGGGCCGGTTTATCTGTTACACCTGGGAGCTGCTGGGCACCTGGGAGAACACCTCAAGGGTGGGGCAGTGTGCTCCCTTGGTGTGTACACTGCAGGCAGGGGAGGCCAGGCCAAGCCTTGTAGAGGAAAGGGCACATCACTAAGACTGGAAGAACACAGCCCACAGGTTAGCTGGGACTATGAAATCCACTGGGTATCTATTCTGGATCCCTCAAAGCACTGTCTTGATGACCCCTTCCCTGTTCCTTCTTTCCTGCACCTCTAGGCCCTGCTACAGGTGCCTGGTTCCTTCATAGAGGGACAGCTCCCTGGGTCTGGGAGTCCCAGCCATAGTGCTCCAGACCTTGGGGAACTTCCATGTTCCACGGAGATTCCGCTTCAGCCTCCACCTCCAGTGCAGCGAGTCATGGACCCAGGTACCTGTAGCTCCTGGTGCTGAAGTGGGCCCCCAGGCTCAGGGTTGAGCTTTCACAGCAGTGCCAGAAGTTTCCCCAGACATGCTGACCCCTCCTGTCTCATGTGCACCAAGACAGCTGTATACCACGCGAATCCAGTGAACAGATGGGGTGTCTAATTCAGAGGCGAGATGTGGCCTGTTCCAGGTCCTACAAAACTGGGGACACAGCAGCCTCTTGGTGTACTGCTACTGTACTCCCTGGTGATGCCAGAAGCAGCAGTGGGAACCTCCATGGGGTTGGGTGAGATTATGGCCTCATAGGCTGGCCAGATGGATGTCTCAGAAACAGGGCAGGGTGAGCCCAGGGTCCTGGCTTTCCAGCAGTCAGGGTTTTGTGTTGGTAAAGAACTGTGTGCCCCTCTTCAGGCTTCCTGGATGTGTCAGGCATTTCCCTCCTGGACAGCAGCAATGCCAGTGTGTGGCCTAGCCTGCCCCCTCCCACAGCTGTTATAGCCTCAGGGCCAGAGGATGTTGGTTCCAGCAGCAGTTCTCATGAGCGGGGTGGTGAGTGGCCGCTTCTGAGGGATCCCAGGTTGTTGGGAAGGTGGGCCTCAATTTCAGCTGAGTTAGAGATTGGCCATATTTTCAACACTTGATCTCCTATCCCCATCAAAGCCTGGGGCGGGGGGGTGGGCAGACAGGCCTCTGTACATGGTCCCAGTTGGGTTTTGCAGGCCTTCTCAGTCCTGCCCTTATGTTTCAGGTGAGGCCACATGGTCTGGGTCGGAGTTTGAGGTCTCCTTCCCAGATAGCCCAGGTGCTCAGGCCCAGCTGGACCACCTGCCTCAGCTGACTCTTCCTGACAGCCTGACCTCTGCAGCCTCACCAGAAGATGGGCTGTCTGCTGAGCTACTGGAAGCTCAGGCAGAGGAGGAGCTGGAAAGCACAAGGAGCCCAGCTGTTGAGGGGCCAGCCAGCCAAGCCGAGAACTCTACCCCAGAATTGCACTCTGGGCTGTGACAAGATCTCATGAGGTCTAGATGTTGGAAAACAGCACAAGCACACAGCTTCCAGTAGCATGCAGGGACTACTGCTTGCGAGTGGCCCTGGCGTCTGCTGAGAAATGGACTCCAGGAAATGACCATCCAAGCATTTACTCTGCCTGATAGTTCTGGGTTAGAGGGTTTCAAACAAGTCCTTCTGGGGTGGTAGGGGCTAGGAGCAGCACCCCAGCTTAAATGTTAAGAGGTAGGAAAGAATCTTTGCTGTGTTGTTGGGATGTGAAGTCTCAGTGGGCAGTGAGAGGTGGCTATAGCCTTGTGGGGAGGACATCTTTTGGCCATGCATCCTCAGGAGGACCAGGGCCTGCTGTGGATGCAGTAGTCTGGTCATGTTCCAGTGTGAAGATGGAGTGAGAGAGGAACGAGCTGATGTCGAGTGTTGGGTTGATCACTTTGTAGGGCTTGCCTTGATCCTTCCTGCACAGCTCAGCCAGCCCCATCTGCCCCTCCACTGCTCCAGTCCCAGTCACTGACTCCTTCATCATGTGCCCTTGTCTTTACACTATAATGCAGCAGTTGACTCAGGTTGCCTGACATGCCAGTCACTGCTGGAGAAGAGGCAGTTTACTTGCCCACCTCTCCTGGGGACATTAGAGGCCCACCTGTGCTTGCACCATGATGTTTCTTTCCTGTGGCCTACACACCAGGCCTACTATCCCCAATGGTGATTCTTGTCAGTTCCCAAACTTATACAATAATCTCTGAATATATGAGGTACCTAGCCAACCGTAATGGTGAACAAAAGGTGCAAATTTAAGTTCACCATTCTCAGTACTAGTCTACCTGACTAGGACTCTTCACCTAGAGCCTCCCCCTGCCCCAAGAATAAATTAGGGGCTCAGACAAGAGTGGGTAAAGGCCTTCTATTTCTGCAGTATGGGGGAAGCTATTCCCCCAGCTCAGGTGCCTTTAGGGGATAAGACTGCATTAGGTCTTCTCTGCTCAGTTTCCACACAAGGGGAAGGCCCCCAATCAAATGAAGTCCTTTACTGTTTTGACTGAAGTCCCTAATTATTCTTGCACTAATTATTTCCTTGCTGATTATCATGAAAGCTGCCTCTGGCCTTCTAGCCTCCTCCTAGTTTACAGTTTCACTGTCAACAGCACGATTTGTAAGTTATGCATAAGGAACTCATAAGCTCTGTGAGGCCTGCGGAGCAAGGACTATCTGTTGGTGGGGTGGGTAAAAGGGCCCCAAATTAGCAAGCACTAAGTTTTAAGCACTGTGACTACTTTAAAAGCCAGTCCTTGTCAAGCCTACCAGAGCACATGGGAGGTCTGCAGAACGGCAGTACACTGTGTCCTGGACTGTCTAGAAGCCCACAGTTAGTTTGCAGGATCGCATGGGAAGTAGAACAGCATTGCCACAGACAGGACTGGTCTGGGCCCACTTTCCTTAGCTCTGCAACCTGGCAGTGTGACCCACACTTGCCTCAGTGGAAGCTTCTGCCCGCCCCCGAATACATTTACTTGTATTTTCCCCTCTATAAACTGGGAGATAAAACAAGTATTGACACTGATTGTTTACAGGGTGAACATGAAACCAAGGGTTTCTCTCTAGTCTGAAGGAAAATGGTAAGTGAAAAAAATAAATGTGTGCTACACTTTGAGATATTTTAACTAAAGCCTTTATTCTACACAACTGAAATACAGATTTTTACCCTTTTGGCATTGCACACTGCCAAATTTTCTGGGAACTGTATTGATTTGACTGGAGGGGAGAAAAGTACAACCATGCTGGGGGTCAGATCTATGACAGGAAGAAAGCACAGCCACCCATGGCTCAGCACACGGGACAAATGACCCAGCAAAACTACTCCTTTAGCTCAAAGGGCCCCTCATGCAAACACAACTGAGGTCTGGTAAATTTTTTTTTTCCTTTTTTGCTATGCACACCTATTGCTAAAAAATGCGCACCAAAGGTACACTGTTGTATCCAACAGACAGAAAGGACTTTAAAAAAAAAAAAAAAGAAGCTGCTGCTCTTTGAGGAAGGGAGTAAGACCATTTCAGCTCCTTGGAAATGTGGCTACATCTTTGCTGACTTCTTCAAGGTTCAGGGGGCAATGACTTGTCCACTTTCCAGTCAGCTAGCCAGCAGTGAGGGAACCCTGTCTGCAGTTGTGTGGATCAGAATATCTCAAATTGTAAGGTAGGGACCTGGGCCCATCAGCTGCCCCCAGCTGAACCTAGAAAGATACAGAAAAGAAAAAGACCCCTCCCCAGTCCTTGTATACAGGGATAGGCCACACACAAGCTGGGGAGGCAACTAGACTGGAATCAACTGCCCTCTGAAGGCACTTGTGCTTCTGGCTTTGTACAAGGAGGCTTGTCTTACGTAGTTTTATGTGTGTGTAGGGGAGTACTGATGATCTATTCTGAATACAATGACCTTGGGAAGAATCCAAAGTATTTTCTGCCAAAAGTTGGAAGTGCTTATCCCTAATAAGTTACCTTCTGTACAAGATCAAATGATTCTATGAAAGCTTTAGACTGTTAGAAAGAATAGTGAAAAGAAGATCTGAACACAGGTACAACAAAAATCTGCATATAACACTTTGGAAAAACAAGTATGCATACTTTCAAGATACGAATACCAAATTAACTCACTATGATGTCCCTTTACTCTAAAACCATACATTTTAGGTAGCACTTGAATGGAATTGAAATTTCATCATGGTCTTAAGTTTTGATGGTGTTACACAGCAGCTGGGGGCTCAGCTGGCTTTGCCTGTGAATAAAATGGTGGAGGAAGAAGTGAACAACTGCACCTCCCCGGGGCTGCACAGCCAGGGCATTATGGAGTATGGCACTGCTGAGTGTGCACTGCTGAGTAAACTCAGCCCAGAAGTCCGAGTGCTGTCGAATTTCAGCAGATCCTCCTACCAGAACACATCTGAGATGCAATATTAAAAAACAAGCCCAACATTAGTAATTTCTTGTGAAATGAATGGGCTGGCTCTTGAATTGTGTAACAGCAAATTCTCATTAAAAATAACTGTCTTAAATGGTGAAAACATTTTGATTTTTTTTTAATGACAAACTTGGAAAAAGCCTTCATAGGACTACCTGAATGGAATGTACTCTTAGAAAAGCTAGAGCTTATGGGTTTGAAATTGAAACATAGTGACAGTGTGGCCTGACCAGTATTCTCTAACAAGTGCTAACAGACAAAGGCAAGGTCCCTTGAAAGAAAGGAGGAAGTGAAGTCTGCACTGGCCTGTTATCAGTTCTCTGTACATCTGGCAAGACAGAGTCTGCCTGGGGCTCTTCTGCTTTTGCACTCAGCTTCCCTAGGGGCAGCTTAATCTACACATGGAGACTGGTTTCTATATTACATCTCAATTAGTCACTTCAATTGAAAGATAATCTCGGTCCATACCAAATCTGCCGTTAGAAGTCTTGCTCCCGTTGGGGCTCAGTGGGCTTCCTAGGACTACTCTTGGGGCCATAGAGGAAGGTAGTAGATGAATACCCAGGAGCTTTAGCCCACCCTTCACGTGGACTTTTGACGGTAATGGAGGGTGAGGTCTCCACCACTCTTCCATATGAAGTGTTTCACTGTTCGAAGGTCCATATTTGGATCCAAAACCTGAATAGCCAAAAATGTATTGAGAATTCCAAAGTCTCTAGTATCTAAAATCCAGCTTGTTCACCTGTCCCATGCCTGGCAGCCTACTTGCTGGCAGTTTCCATGCATGCAGGCCCAGAACTGGGCACAGTGAAATGTGCATCTTTTGTGGCTATGCCCAAGATACCAGGCTATCTTTCAGCCCTTCCTCTGAAGCAACGGCATGAGTACGTCTTGATTTAAAACAGTCCTGCCATTTCTCCACCCACCTCCACTCCAAATCTTTTACCACAACAGATGTCGTCCTGCAAATCAAGAAGACCATGTGTCCTTTGCTTGTCAGGAAAAAAAGTTACTGGCACATTTACAAATAAAGCTACGTAACATTTACATTTGTCTATGTCTGTCTTTCAATCTATGTTGCTTTCCTGAAAGCCTTCCTCAAGGAAATGGGAGCTTTAGGGTGGGCTGAGAAACCTCTCCAAAAGGACCACACGGATGGGTGGGAGAGACCCTAGGCTGCTTAGAGCCTTTGTAAACAGAAGCTGCCCCCAATCCCAAAGGCAGCAAATCTGGGAGCACCACATTATGTAGTGTTCTGAGCACCAGCACTAGAAGAAATGGGCCGATGGTGCTCAGATCCACTTACCTGGTCCTGGCACAAAAGTTCAATTTTCTCCTCTGCCAACACAGCAATATCCTCTTCTTTTTCCTGTTCTCCTGGTTTTTCATTATTAGAAGAGCTAGTGGTTTGAGACTCATTATCCAAGTTGATAATTTTCTCATAGACATGTTCCATTACTTTCCGGACTTGGAGCATATCACTAGCAGAGAGTCTATCTCTGTAAAAGGCAATGGCATATACTGACATCAGGAAAAATCACTACATATTACCTCTACCACATTATTTTTCCTTGTTTTTAACACCTTATAAATATACCACAGAAGCATATATCAAATGCTTTTAGTCACTGCCTTATCCATTTTTAGAACTGTCCAACTATTTTCCACAGTGCTCTCCTAAGGCACAGATTATGTTCAACTAAATGAGATTAAACACGTGTTCATGAAATCTCCATACAGAACAGCTTTCTGGGTTTTATTCCTTTATTGCCTTACGTTCAATGCCTAGGCAAACCAAAGAATCCTAGAAGGGAAGTCCTAGTACTTACTAAAGTCTGGTGTTCCTGGGGCTCAGAGATCCCTGTGCTCTCCTGTTCACTTGCCATGCCTTTAACTAGCAGCTAAGGGAGAGGATACCCCAGTTTAAGCCTGCTCTGGATCACAAACCCCAAAACTGAGTTATACTCAATTCCCTCACCCAATTAAGTCAATAATCATCAAACCACAAAACTAAGGCTTAAACTCTGAAAGCTACTTTGAACTTCAGACACTAAATCTTGAAGTAATGCCTAG